GTCCCAAACAAAGAAACAAATGACGGGAGCAGAACTTCAGCCTCTGATAAACCCTCCAGAACCTTCTGCAGGTAAACAAAGAGATGAGACAGAAACATGTTTGATCTGCTGGCAAAACTTTACAAAGCAGTTTCGGTTTTCTAAAGATCTGGATGTTCATATTCAATACAGAAATAAAAACAAATACAAGCAAGCAGAGTGTTGAGCCATGAGAGAGAAGAGCAGCAGAGAAAGGTGAGGACAGAGTGACGAAGAACAGCCGAGCAGCCATTCATCAGAGTTCTTCCAGAGTTTTCTAGATGCATTTTCTGGACAAAACTTTTGTTCTTATGTGATGTTCAAAACAAAAGAAGAGCTTTAAGCGTGAAATGTTCTGAAGGAACGTTGATCTGGTTGTTCAGGCTGGTAGAGAGAACATGAAAGAATCTATGAACCCAGAGGAGGAACAAACACCTGATCTGCAAAGTAAAAGAAACTAAAACAACCCAAAAACATTAAGGCGTGAACAGGGTATGGCAAGACCTTAACAACAATAATACGTCAGCTAAAGGGATTATGGCAAGACAAGTCTGGAAAATCCTCAATGGTAATAAACCAAGAAAAATCTGAATTCAAACACAAACCAATTGATCATTGATCAGAGCACATGAAACCAAACATGGCAGTAGCGCGAGAGCTCCCCCTGGTGGTTAAACACTTTCAGCCAGTCTGAATTATTACTGAATAAATCAGACGCAGCAGAATAATTGGACGTGATGAAGGAGCATAAAAAGCTCCTGCTGTGCGACCTGATCTCTGTGGTGATGAATCACAAACCTGTCAGTCGTTTAGGAGCCTAAAACATATTTGATTCTGTTTGAATCTGAATGAAAATGTCAACATTTCACCAACAAAACATGAAAATAAAAGTGTTTACCACCACATTAATATTTTGGCTGAACAGACCGGTTCGAAGGCCCAGAGAGAAATTAGACATGTTTTGTGATTTCTGTGCTGAAGGAAAGTTTTTCTGCTTCACCCAGACGAGGATCCTCAGGGAGGAGGAGCTGCTGGTGTTTTACACCCTCGATAGATTTGCACTCAGATTCAATCACACTATTTATCTACTTTTTTCCTTCCACACAATTTTCTCCTGTTGGAATATACAGTCATAATCAATAATCAGAATATGTTCAGAAGAGGCTCATTTGTTAACATTTTTCACAAAATCCACATTTTTTCTCATTATTGGTCTAACATAGTATTATAATCTTAAATTAAATGTTTTCATCAACTTTAAGAAAGAAATCAGAATAATGGCTTTGAAACAAGATAGAAAAAACATAAAATCACTTTAGAATCATTAAAATCCTCATCTTGAGTCTTCAACCGGCATCATTTGAAGCAGGAACTCAGAATTCGTCCTAGTCAAAGTCCTGACAGGTCTAGTAAACATAGTCCAGCATGATGTGAGTTCGTGGATAACTGGGACGGAGAAGTCCACCTGGAATCCGCTGGAGGAGCTTGTCATCCCAGTTAGAGCTCCAGATGTTCCTGAGGAACCAGAACAAACATCTGGCTGCCAGGTAGAGCGCTCCGGCTTTCAGGAAGAGTTTCAGGAACCAGGAAAATCCGCCTTCGCTTCCTTTACCATGGCTGCCTCCAGATCCATAACTGGATCCATAACCAGATTCTATCCATAACTGGACCTGCTCCAGTAATCTTCATAATAATCTGCAGAAAGACAATCAGAAAAAGTCAAATCTGCGCTCAGCCTCAGAAATATATTCACTTTGCTGTTTTATTGTCACATTCATACAATTAAAGTTAATCAAATTAATAAAGCTTCATAAATTAGCTGCTTGTGGTTCAAAAAATGAAAAAACAAGAACAAAATGTATCTGAATCACTGTCCTTACATTCTCTAAAGTAAAGGATTAAATAAGTGTTTGCTTCTTCCTACTCCTTGTCAATTGGATTCAGCGCTTAGCATCAGCTATCATACTGCATTGGTGTAGCACTTTAGCATTAGCACTTTAGCTTTAGCACTTTAGCTTTAGCACAACTAATGTTTTAGTTAGCAATAGCCACCACTGCATTCATTTATCTGTCCATGTATTGGTGGGCAAACGTCCACTAATCTGCTAATGCGCTAATAGCAGAGCTAACATCCTCTACCCAAAATGCAGTGCAGCAAATGACATTTATTCTTTACCAAGAACATTAAATATGCTATTAGTTGTGCTACATGTGTCATAGTGGATGTAAGCATAAATTCATTGCGTTAGTGTTAGCTTCTGCTAAATATTATGTTGTTGTAGCACTTTAGCACTAGCTTATGCTAAATATCAAGTTGGTGAAATTTTTACCAAATATGTTGAAATAGTACTTCAATGTTAGCAGAACGAGTATTAATGACTCGCAGCTTTTGGTTAGCGCAGCTAGCTTTTGGTTAGCGCAGCTACTTTTTGGTTAGAGCAGCTAGCTTTTTGATTAGATCAGCTAGCTTTTTGATTAGCGCAGCTGGCTTTTTGGTTAGCGCAGCTAGCTTTTTGATTAGCGCAGCTGGCTTTTTGGTTAGCGCAGCTAGCTTTTTGGTTAGCGCAGCTGGCTTTTTGGTTAGCGCAGCTAGCTTTTTGGTTAGCGCAGCTGGCTTTTTGATTAGCGCAGCTGGCTTTTTGATTAGCGCAGCTGGCTTTTTGGTTAGCGCAGCTGGCTTTTTGGTTAGCGCAGCTAGCTTTGTGGTTAGCGGCGCCTCCACTGGTGACCTTTGCTCTGTTTCTGTAAATCTCTCTAAAATGTGAAAACAGGTTGAGTGTTTACCTCGGTATGGATCCGACCAGCTGGAGCGCAGGGAAAGTTCCCTCCGAGGTTTCGGTTTCTTGCTGCTTTGCTTCTTCTTCTTCTTCTTCTTCTGCAGGGTGTAAGTCACCAGGCTCCCGCTGCCATCTGGGTCAGTGCTGGAGCAGAACTGGTCCAGGTCCAGCTGGCGATTGAAGGCCTGGGAGAAGAACTCGGTCGGATCGTTCTGCATCATGCTGAGCATCATCTGGACTGAAGGGTTCTCCGCGTCCTGCAGCATCACTACCTCGTCATAGTAACCCATCTGAGTGAGGAGGGAGCTGAGGTCCAGCTGCGGGTTCTGCAGAAGTCGGATCAGTTGCGAGCTGACCTCATGAGTTCCGTCGGATCGGAACCGTCCAGCAGCAGCGTCTTCGTGTTCTGTGATGTAGACCTTGTCCAGCAGCCGGGTCTTCACCTGGTAACTGATGATGATGCGGTCGCTGTTGGAGACGCCGCCCGCCCCGAGGTTCTCCCGGACGAACGGCGGCAGGTCGGCGGACCGCGGGTAAGACTGGGTGCTCAGGTTCCCGACCACGAAGTAAACCAGCTGGAGGGAGAGAGGGAGTGAACCCGACCTCTGAACGAGACCGGACACAGAACATCCACTGTTTCCACCCTGAACTGCTTTTAATCTTTGACTTTCAACCAGACTCTTCTGTAAAAAGATGTTTAAATATGAAAAATGAAGTTTTCAGAGGGAAGAATTAGGAAAGATTTTATGCTTCCATTTGAGTCTCTACTGCTTCTAAACACTACACACTACACCGTCACCCTAAGGACGGCTTGGAGGCAATATGTAGAAGAAGGTAATATTTCATATGCTTTAGCTACATTCATGCTATCTATACTATCTGGCCGTTTATATAACAACACCAACACCAGAAGTTTTTCTTCACAGGCTGGAGCTCATGGCAATAAACAAAGAACAGAGTCTAGAAAAAAAGCAATTTTTCAACAATCATATCACAATTAAATATTTTCCTGAAATCGTGTCCAAGTACTTCAGGTTTTTACCAAAGCGGAGCCACTAAAGACGTTTATGCTGACGGTAACTTCCAGTTCCTGCTTTTAAAGATTTACTAAAAAATCATCTGGAGATCAAATTCTGTCATTTTTGGCTCAATGACGAGTTTCTTATATTCACTCAGTGAAAGGTGCTTCTGTGGATCTGCCACAGAAGCATGGCGGCGCCAACATGGACGCTACGCTGAGGATTCCTGAGGAAAACATGACAGAATGGCGTCATTAGAGAACAGGAACGATTCATCAACACGGTTCCTCATCACCTTCAGGCTGTCCACCTGACCGAGAACAACCAACAAATTCAGCTGGAAAATATCAAACATTTCCTTTTATTAAACAGGCCAGTTTTATTTAACCTTTCATACAAATCTTGATGCAATCTGCTGTTGTTTAGATATTAAGAGACAATGTGAAAACAGATCCATGATCCATGGCTAAACTTTCTGGAGGATTTCTGTTAGTTTAGCCAGTTTTCTTTAGACAAACCCGGCTTTAAACATAGAAATGTTCATTGTGACTCAGGTAGGGTCAAAATCAGTTTATTCGTGTTGCCATGTTGGATCATGCAGCTGGAGAGAACATGTAAAGACCCCAGACTGGGATTTGAACCCAGAACCTTTTTGCATTGATGCGTTAAAAACTCACTTCATTTCCTGTAACATTGTAAACATTGTTCCTGTCATTTTGGCCAGATTAATTCTGTCCTATAGCTGAAAATAGCCCCTATTCTGATTATAGTGTTATTTACTATTATTTGTTTAATAGAATATGTTCCATCAAAATACGGTTTATTAAACTGGACTTTAATCACCGTGATCAATGCATCTCCCCTTCATACAACCTGCAGGTTGTCTGAGTAAAATGAACAAATAATGGCAAAAGTGGACAAATATTACTGGGTCTGCTTTTACATTTTTACCCAAACATTTCTTGGAGATTAAAGTGCATCGTTTAATAATTTAAATGTTTATCATCTTAAAGTAAAGAATAGTAAAAGCAAAGGCATATAACCGTTAAAGATGAGAGCAGAGCCTTGTATTGAAGGCTGTTTTCTGTCTGTTTTCTGTCTGTGTTGCCAGATCTCCTCAAGTTTCCATCCTGCTTCCTTGTTGTCCAGCAGAGGGAACGCCCCTGCAGCGCTCGACGTCAGATACGACGTCAGATACGTGCTCGTTCACGTCGGTTCCGTACGCGCGGTGCCTCTGCGTCAGTCTCGCGCCTCCTCGCTCCCGATGCTCTCCTTTTCCCAACAACCAGAAGATAGATGTTCCGATTTCAGGTGAGATTTAACCTTGAGAATCGGTTCCGGTCCGGTTCTGGACGGGACGTCTGGGGCCTGAGGAAGGTGTTGAGGGGGAACCTGGCCTGGTCGGGGTTTAAATGTCCTCCATTCCCTTTTGTTTGGACCTCAATGCCACCTGCGGCCTGTGAAGCAGCGCGCTTTCCTGCTGGTTCATGCGGAGCGACGGCGTGCGTTCTCCGGTGCCATGGCCCGGGACGGACCTGTGGTTCTGTGGGTCAGCCTGTGTTATAACGGGCCAGATTCTGATCGTTTCCGTATCGGCGCTAGAAGGAGCTGGTTCCATCAAGTTTTCCGTCTCCGGTTCAAAGCGTGATGTAACGGCGGTGCTAGCTTAGAGGCTAACTGTCCTGGAGGCTGTCAGGGGTCTGTTCGGCTCCTGCAGGGCTTCACCTGCTTTAGTTGCTTTGAAAATCAAAACTTATAAATCAGTACATTTAATATATGCTCCATGTTCTAACAGGGATGGAAAGTGCAGTCTTTTAGAGCCGGTGTCCTGCAGGTTCAACACCTGAATAATAAATATGACTCACTATGAGAGCTCTGCAGAACCTGCTGAGGTTCTGATTCAGACTTTGGTTCAGGTTTGTTGGTGCAGAAATATCTGAAACCTGCAGGACACCTAGTGTGGAGATTTAAATAAGAGAAAATAAAGTTCCTCAGGTTTCTGTCTGCAGCTGTCAGAACGGTTCTGGTCTAATTCAGATCTTAACATCAGACCAGGAACCAGAACTCCAGTGTCTCCATGCGGCCAGTTTGACCTCAGAAAGGAGACGGACTGAAGCTTCTGTCTGAATGACAGCTTTATGTTATTAAATGGACACAATTAGGGTAAAAATGTTGGGAGGCTTTCAAACGTGACATCACCATCAAGCATGGTGGTGGCGGCATCATGCTGAGGATCTGATGTGCTTCCAGCTGCTGGAAAAGCTGATGTTTGATACTTAGACACAGTTTTGTTTTCCGACAGGACAAAAATCCCAAACACATCTGGACTGGCAAAAACCTGCAATAATTGATCATATTGGCAAAAACTGATATGAAGTAATAAAGATTTATTAGTATTAACATTAATTTCAGATAAAAAGTCGTCCAACCAGCAACTGGAAAAATTCATTATTTCTTTAGTGCATTTGTAGCAACAATTCTTTTGTTTTTTATTTTAATGTTTTTTATTAAAGTTAAGCTGCTGATGTAACAAACTGATGCTGGTCTGAAGAATCGTAGATTTAAAAATAATTAAAGTTTAGATGCAAAAATATTTAAAACAGAGTGAAATTCCCCTGAAAGCAGCTCCAGTGTTGAGCCTCGAAAATGTTTAGTTTCATTTTTATATCCTGAATGTCAAAATATTTGATGTTTGACCAGATTAATAATTTTATAAATTATAATGTTTAATAATAAAACTGGGTCGTTTATAATAATGTCTCATCATATTCATCAGCTTTAATTACCAGTAATTACAGCTGAATAAAGCATAAACTGATCATTAGAGTATCAGTTATTGATTTGACTTCGATCAGGCTGATAGAAATGAGAAGACATGAAGTGTGATGAGAGCAGATGAGTAAACAGTTTGTGCAACAGAAACTGTTTAAAGATGATACCAAATAATAATTCGATTTCTGTGAACAGAATGTTGTGGTGATCGATGACGTGAACGATGACGTGTCTGGACTCGGTTTGGTCCAGGACCCGGCGCTGACTGAACAGCAGAACCACGGAGCCTGAAACATAAAGTTACTCATTTGTAAATAAAACGGTAATATTTTGTGACATCACATCAGTCACACATATGTGAATTAAAATGAATCAAATCTTGAGCGATTTTGTGATACTGGTGAAAACTGTTCTTAACAAACCAGTAAATCACAATGAATCCGGTGAAACCAGTATGAAGCACAAAGGTCAAAGGTCTCATGTCGGCCCGTCGCAATAAATTCTGCTGGACGATAAGTGATCAGAAATTATAGCAATAAATGATAATATGTATCGCTCTTTGATACCATTTTTAAGTAACATAATAATAATGAAAGAACATTTTCAAGGATCAATAAACTTTAATTTCGAATAAACATTTAACACTTGAGACTAGAAAACATTTTAAATGTCCAAAACAAACAAAATGAATGAAGTTTCTGTAAATAAAACTTTTATCATCCAACAAAGAGGAAAACAATAAATCATTCAGATTATTGACCTCATTTTAATTGATCATTCAGATGATTGATTTATTGCGACAGATCTTGATCGGTATTTTCTCAGCCTACATAAAGAACCACAGACTGAAACAAGGGAGAGAAAAAGGAGAAGCAGGTTTTGTCTCTGCTCGGCTCATCCTGTCCTCCTCCTGGACGGGACATTCTGCTGCTGCTGCAGAGACGATGTGGGTCAAACAGATTCAACGTGGCATTGATTCACTCACAGTGATGTGAACTACTGTAACGGGTCTGATGGTCGGTTTCAGGTTATTTATGAGATCATGGCGATGTCAGATTAATCTGCTGACAGTTCTGACCAGTTTATTAGAGGATAATCCAGGATCTTCTGCTTTCAGTCCCTGGATGACGACTGTACTCTGGAGGAAGAGGATGATGGGCTGATTGAGGAGGAAGATGAGATCGATCAGTTTAATGACGACACGTTTGGAGCCGGCGCCATCGGTGAGCAGTCGCCGCTTTCTTCTTCTACTCTGCGGTGGTTCTGGGATTAAAGCTGCTCTGTGTTTCCAGATGACGACTGGCAGGAGGAGCACAAGCGCCTGGCGGAGCTGGACGAGCGGGACGGGCTGGGCGCCAGGCGGGGCCAGGGGGGCGGAGACTCCTCCCCGGGCCCCGCCCCTCCACCGCCGTGGGTCGGCACCCTCCGCTCGGCTTCTCTTCGTCTTCCTCTGGACTGCCGGGTCACGGTGGGTTTGGGCCGCCAGGTCACGGTGGGTTTGGGCCGCCGGCGCCCCTGAGAGCGGTCCGTTCCGGGTTCTGATGCGTTCTCGTTTCTCTGCAGACGAGCGATCGGGAGGCGGCGACCTGGCCGAGTCTCTGGCCCGCTTCATTCTGGACGCCGACCCGGCCATCGCCGGCGTCGGAGCGGCAGAGAGGCGCGGGCCGGCCCCCGGGTCGGCCGGGCCGGTTCTGTCCGCGCTGCGGGGCCCGGACCAGCCCAGAGTCCTGCAGCAGCCCGCCTGCATCCCCCCCAAACACCAGCTGCCCCCCGGACCCCCCGCCTCAGGTGAGCAGGTCACCTAGTGACGGGTCACTTCCTGTTTGGACGCTTTCTGAGCTGAGATGTTTGTCCCGCAGGCCTACCCGCCTCCTCCGTGCTCAGCTACCAGCAGCAGCAGCACCTCCTGCGCAGAGGAGCCGCTCCCATGGGCCAGGTCCGTTCCTCGGTTTCCCTCACGCCGTCATTCAGAGGAAGTGGAGCAGAATCATCTGAAGCTGCGTTTTCGCTACAAATACGATGTTGCTATGTTCAGCTAACATTAAAAAATTAAATTTCATAATTACAGTGTTTCTATTTAATAAGAAACACAATTAAAATCACGTGAATGAGTTTATTTACAAAATAAAACATTAAGAAACAGGCTGCGCCATCAACTTCCTGTCATTGTCGTCTTCATGGTTTCCTCCAGTAGCAACATCCTGTTGTGGATCACATGACTCATAATGTTTCCATGGAGGTTTGCCGATAACTCCTCATCGTTGCGCGCCAACAGCTGCTGTTTATCCTTTGCTTTTGATGAATCAAGTTTAGTGCAAGAAACTTTTCAAATTAAAGTCTGAATTCCAACGGTACCAGTAAAGGTCACCGGATCTGACCTTTAGGTCTGCCTTTCCCACTTCGTCTCCACAGATGAACTCTCACAGCATCTGGGACAACAGCATGGGCTTCGGGCCGGTCAGCGTCACGCCGGGACTCGTCACACACATGGAGGTGAGAGAAACGCCTTTCTCCTTCCAGAACCAGAACCTGAGCTCCATCTTCTGCTCCGTCCTCAGGACAGTCCACTGATGTCCATCATCAAGGAGGTGGGGCTACCGAAGCGCCCTCCTCAGGGGAGGAGCGATGAAGGTCACGACCTGTCAGAGAGAGCCCCGCCCCCCCCCCCCTCCTCCTCCTCCTGTGATTGGCTCTCCTCCGGTGAGGGCGGTGCCTATCGGGACGCCGCCCAAACACCCGATGAGCCTGAACCACCAGGTGAGGCGCGGCGACGGACGCTCAGACCGTAGCGTGTTCCTCTGAGTCTCCAGCTGTGTGTGTGTGTGTGTGTGTGTGTGTGTGTAGGTCCACCACCCCACGGCGGTCCATGTGCGAGCCCCGGTCCAGCACCGGTACCCGGCTCCGTTCCCTGAGCGCCTCTCCCCCAACACGCTGCTCAACATGGCCGTGAGTCTCTCTGCTTCCTGTAATCGGTTCTGCTGTCATCTTCCAGTCCTGATGTGGAGAACTGACCCGTTGTCTTGGTTCTGACCCGTTGTTTTCCTGGCTCTGTTCAGAATTCTCCGTTGTGTCGCGGTCCGTTCCCTCCCAGAGTCGGTCCGGTTCTGTCTCAGCTCCAACGGGCTCAGCTGCTCAACTCCCAGGTCGGTACCACAGGTTTGTTCTGCAGGACTCCGGGTCCAGGACAGAACCAAGCACTGGTTCTGATGCAGCTTCCATTTCCAGTTCTACCAGAGAACCCAATAAGAACCCGGTTAAAAGGTTCTGACCCATAAACGCAGCTTGTTTCCTTTTCTTTGGCTAAGAAAACCATCAGAACCGGGATGATCCGTTCTCTGGTTCTGGTTCTGCTGTTTACTCAGAACTCAGATATTCAGGTTCTTCTGGAACCGTTCAGCTTTTGCTATGAAGCGTCCAGAACCGGACCCTGGTTCCAGGAGGTTCTGGTTCTGCTCGCTTGGACCATTAGAGTTCAGCCTGAAACCTGATTGTTTCTCCAGAACATTTATCTGGGTCGAGGGTTCTGCTGTTTCCTGGTCCCTTATTGGTCACTTCCTGTTTGTGTCAGTGTTCTGGCTCCTGATTGGACCAGTTTAATTGCAGTTGATTCGTTAGTAAGTGCAGCTCTGTGACACGTTCCGCCTCCGTCCACCAGGTGGCAGGTTTTCCTCGCGGCGGCCCCGGCCCTCCCCTGCTGGCCGGCGCCGGGTTCAGGCCCTTCTTCGGGGGCCCCCCTCCTCCTCACGGCCACAGGATGGGCCCCCCGCCGCCGCACGGCCCCCCCAACCACACGGCGCCCATCAGGCACAACACGACGCACCTCCACCCTCAGCACCGCCGCATGCTGCGCAGCGCATGCAGAGCCGCGGCGGGTGAGAGCGCGCTCGCTTCCTCTGCCTCGTTAGCTGCATTAGGAGCTTCTGTTCTCAGAATCCGCCGCTTGTTCTGCAGCGACCGGGTCAGAACCGGGCTGGACCGCCGCAGCCGAGACCCGTACAGCAACCTGATGAGCCAGAAGGAGAAGGAGTGGGTCACCAAGATCCAGATGATGCAGCTGCAGAGCACCGACCCGTACCTGGACGACTACTACTACCAGGTAGAACCGACCTGTCGGTGTCTGAAGGTCATGACTTCTGGTGCTTGAAGGTCGTGACCTCTGGTGCCTGAAGGTCGTGACCTCTCGGTGCGTTCCGGTGGACAGACAGGCGTCTCTCTGTCTCCCTGCAGAACTACTATGAGAAGATGGAGAAGCGTCAGGAGAAGGAGCGGGACAGCAGCAGGAAGGAGCACACCACCAAGCTCATCACTCCGCAGGTGGCCAAGGTGGAGCACACCTACCGGCCAGGTGAGGACCCGCAGGGAGCCTCTGTCCCCCGTCCTGCGGGTCTCCTGACGTCCTGCGTGTCTCTGCAGTTCAGTTTGCGGGGTCTCTGGGGAAGCTGACCGTGTCCAGCGTCAACAACCCGAGGAAGATGATCGACGCCGTGGTAACGACCCGCTCCGACGACGAGGTGGGTCCAAACGTCCAGGTGAAGACGTCCCTCAGCTGCGGCCTGTCCTGAGTCCTTCTGTCTGTCCTCCTGCAGGAGAAGAGGGAGAAGCAGGTGTGGAACAAGAGGCGCCAGGTGCTGTACACCGTGGAGAAGGTAGGGGGCTGCGCCCTGCCGGAGCGCTGCAGCACGTCTCTGACAGACGGTCGCTTCCTATTGATGATCAGTTCAAACACACATAAATATTAATAACGTTTCAGTTCATACTGAACTGCCGACTTATTTAAACAAGATTCTTTTTGTTTGAACCAAATGCTGCAGGATCATATTCTTTATTTCCAAACTGGTGAGAATCAATAAGGAATCAATAAGTTCTGATCAGCTCCCGTCCCTCCAGATGTACAGTCTGCTGCTGGAGGTCCAGGACTTCGAGAAACGCTTCGTCCAAACGCCAGAGGAGGACAGAGACGCTCTGCTGGAGCAACACAAGAGCAACACGGAGCAACTGAGCAACTCGCTGCAGGACGGGGACTGGGAGGACAGGTGGGACTGGGAGGACTGGTGAGACTGGGAGGACTGGTGAGACTGGGAGGACAGGTGGGACTGGGAGGACTGGGAGGACAGGTGGGACTGGGAGGACAAGTGGGACTGGTGGGACTGGGAGGACAGGTGGGACTGGGAGGACTGGTGAGACTGGGAGGACAGGTGGGACTGGGAGGACAGGTGGGACTGGGAGGACTGGTGAGACTGGGAGAACAGGTGGGACTGGGAGGACAGGTGGGACTGGGAGGACAGGTGAGACTGGGAGGACAGGTGGGACTGGGAGGACTGGTGAGACTGGGAGAACAGGTGGGACTGGGAGGACAGGTGGGACTGGGAGGACTGGTGAGACTGGGAGGACAGGTGGGACTGGGAGGACAGGTGGGACTGGGAGAACAGGTGGGACTGGGAGGACAGGTGGGACTGGGAGAACAGGTGGGACTGGGAGGACAGGTGGGACTGGGGGACAGGTGGGACTGGGAGGACAGGTGGGACTGGGAGGACAGGTGGGACTGGTGAGACAGGGAGGACAGGTGGGACTGGGAGGACAGGTGGGACTGGGGGGACTGGTGAGACTGGGAGGACTGGTGAGACTGGGAGGACTGGTGAGACTGGGAGGACAGGTGGGACTGGGAGGACAGGGGGGACTGGTGAGACTGGGAGGACTGGTGGGACTGGGAGGACAGGTGGGACTGGGGGGACTGGTGAGACTGGGAGGACTGGTGAGACTGGGAGGACAGGTGGGACTGGGAGGACAGGGGGACTGGTGAGACTGGGAGGACTGGTGGGACTGGGAGGACAGGTGGGACTGGGAGGACAGGTGGGACTGGTGAGACTGGGAGGACAGGTGGGACTGGGAGGACAGGTGGGACTGGGGGGACTGGTGAGACTGGGAGGACAGGTGGGACTGGGAGGACAGGTGGGACTGGGGGGACTGGTGAGACTGGGAGGACTGGTGGGACTGGGAGGACAGGTGGGACTGGGAGGACAGGTGGGACTGGGGGGACTGGTGAGACTGGGAGGACTGGTGAGACTGGGAGGACAGGTGGGACTGGGAGGACAGGTGGGACTGGTGAGACTGGGAGGACAGGTGGGACTGGGAGGACTGGTGAGACTGGGAGGACAGGTGGGACTGGGAGGACAGGTGGGACTGGGGGGACAGGTGGGACTGGGAGGACAGGTGGGACTGGGAGGACAGGTGGGACTGGGAGGACTGGTGAGACTGGGAGGACAGGTGGGACTGGGAGGACAGGTGGGACTGGGGGGACAGGTGGGACTGGGGTGACTGGTGAGACTGGGAGGACAGGTGGGACTGGGAGGACAGGTGGGACTGGGGGGACTGGTGAGACTGGGAGGACAGGTGGGACTGGGAGGACAGGTGGGACTGGGAGGACAGGTGGGACTGGGAGGACTGGTGAGACTGGGAGGACAGGTGGGACTGGGAGGACTGGGGGGACAGGTGGGACTGGGGGGACAGGTGGGACTGGGAGGACTGGGGGGACAGGTGGGACTGGGGGGACAGGTGAATAGTGGGTTTGGTGACATTGACTTAATATTTGATGATGATATTTTGTGTTATTATTCTCATGATAAATAATGAATCAGTTTCTGTTCGACTGAATGACGATATTATAAATCAGTTTGATTTGTATATAAACTTCACACTAATTATATTTAATCACATTTTATAATCAATTATTATTTATTGATACTTTCATTAAATGAACAGCAGAGAAAATAAACTAATTAATGAAAACAGACTTTTTTATCATTAATAGGAATTTATTCTGACAATAAATAACAAATAGATGATTTTGTGTTTTGTGTGTTCGTGTGCGTGTGTGTGTGTGTATGCATGTGTGTGTGTGTTCGTGCGTGTATGCGTGTGTGTATGTGTGTGTGTGTGTGTATGCGTGTGTGTGTGTGTGTGTGTGTGTGTATGCGTGTGTGTGTATGCGTGTGTGTGTGTGTGGCCCTCAGGGTGAGCGATGAGCAGTGTGTGATGATCCTGTCGGTGCGGAAAGGGAAGCGTCTCGTCTCCAGGCTCCTCCCCCTCCTGCCCGGGGCGCAGGCTGCTGGCGTTGTCATGGTGATTGCACGCAACCTCCCCGCCTTAGCGAAGAAGGACAAGCAGGACCAGGTAGCCATCTTTGTTTCCCGTCAGAAAAATCTCTTTAACAAGAAAATCATTTTTCTGATTTTGTTCAGCCGTTTTCTTCTTGGTTCCTTCGTAAAACAGTTTTTAAGTAAAGAAGCTGCTTGTTCCCCTCGCAGGCGTTGTGCTGCCTGGTGGAGCCGGTCTCTGCAGTCATCCAGTCTCTGTCCAGCTCCGCCCTCACAGACCTGCTGCAGGAGCTGCAGGGCGGCGAGGGCCAGCTGGCCGCCGCGCTGCAGAACAAGGTAACACATCGATGCAGGCCAGGCGGCGGCCGCTCAGGCGGCGGCCGCTCAGGCGGCGGCCGCTCAGGCGGCGGCCGCTCAGGCGGCGGCCGCTCAGGCGGCGGCCGCTCAGGCGGCGGCCGCTCAGGCGGCGGCCGCTCAGGCGGCGGCCGCTCAGGCGGCGGCCGCTCAGGCGGCGGCCGCTCAGGCGGCGGCCGCTCAGGCGGCGGCCGCTCAGGCGGCGGCCGCTCAGGCGGCGGCCGCTCAGGCGGCGGCCGCTCAGGCGGCGGCCGCTCAGGCGGCGGCCGCTCAGGCGGCGGCCGCTCAGGCGGCGGCCGCTCAGGCGGCGGCCGCTCAGGCGGCGGCCGCTCAGGCGGCGGCCGCTCAGGCGGCGGCCGCTCAGGCGGCGGCCTCTGATGGCTGATGGAGCTGATCATCAGTTCAACATGTTATATACGAAGAAAAAGTTGTTTGATGCGTAAAAACTCATAATTACATAAAAATATTTTACATCTGCATTACATATTTTTCACCAGCGGTTGCTGCAGTTTTTTCACCTTTGCAATGCATGCTGGGCAGATTATAGTTAACTTGACTGAGGCGAATGTTACGAGTCGCTTCAAAGTTTTCACGAACCGTTTTACATGAGATTCCTGTTAAAACAAACTCCATCTACTGTTTACTACATCAACTAGATGCTGCTGCTAATGATGCTGCTGCTAATGATGCTCCTGCTAATGATGCTGCTGCTAATGATGCTAGACACAAACAGTTCTAACCTGGAGACGACATGGCGGCGGCGTTGTGACACTATTCTATAAAAACCAACCGGTCTCCAGTGTTTTCTCGCTCTGTCTGCAGTTCGGCGTGACGCTGCTGTTTCTCATCCTGAGCGAAGGAGAGCGCATGCAGAGCTCCGACCCAAACTGTGAGCTCATGGACGACAATCGATGGTGAGTCTGCGCCGACGGTTCGTCCTGCTTCCTGCCTCTTCATCGTCCTCATCATCCTCTGTGTCGGTCCAGGACTGAGTTGGTGTTCTCGGTGACCAGGGAGCTGCTCGGCGTCCCGTCTTCATCGCTGGCTCCGCCCCTCTTCACGCCTCCCAACCTGCTGTCTCTGTTCTCGCGCTACGTGGATCGGCAGAGGCTGGAGCTGCTGCAAGACAAGCTACAGTGAGGCTTCATCGGCGCTCTTCATCGGCGCAGACAAACACGGTGCTGAATGTAAATCTGTTTGTTTTCCAGGATCTCTGCTTCATCCAGGTAGAAGTTACTACATCATCATCGTCAACATGGCCCCTCCCCACTCAATGCAGAACTTTGGTGTGTGTGTAAGGGTGTGTGTGTGTGTGTGTGTCAGGGTGTGTGTGTGTGTGTGTCAGGGTGTGTGTGTGTGTGTGTCAGGGTGTGTGTGTGTGTGTCAGGGTGTGTGTGTGTGTGTCAGAGTGTGTGTGTGTGTGTCAGGGTGTGTGTGTGTGTGTCAGGGTGTGTGTGTGTGTGTGTCAGGGTGTGTGTGTGTGTGTGTGTCAGGGTGTGTGTGTGTGTGTGTGTGTCAGGGTGTGTGTGTGTGTGTCAGGGTGTGTGTGTGTGTGTGTCAGGGTGTGTGTGTGTGTGTCAGGGTGTGTGTGTGTGTGTGTGTGTGTCAGGGTGTGTGTGTGTGTGTGTCAGGGTGTGTGTGTAAGGGTGTGTCTGTGTGTGTCAGAGTGTGTGTGTGTGTGTGTCAGGGTGTGTGTGTGTGTGTGTCAGGGTGTGTGTGTGTGTGTGTGTCAGGGTGTGTGTGTGTGTGTGTGTCAGGGTGTGTGTGTGTGTGTCAGGGTGTGTGTGTCAGGGTGTGTGTGTGTGTGTGTCAGGGTGTGTGTGTGTGCTCTGGAGGCGAATCCGTCTGGATCATTTTAAAGCAGAAGAATCTCTCGTCACATGTTGTTTTTCTGTTTAGTCTGGTTCTTTCTGTGTGTGTGTGTGTGTGTGTGTCAGGGTGTGTGTGTGTGTGTGTGTCAGGGTGTGTGTGTGTGTGTGTGTGTGTGTGTGTGTGTGTGTGTGTGTGTGTGTGTGTGAGCAGGTGTGTTTGTGAAACAACCTGAATGATGACAAAAATGAAATCTGCATTTTTAAATATCTTGTTTACAATTATGCCTGTGATAAAATTAAAAGTATTTCTATTATATAGAAAGTGTTTCTGTTCTGCTTCCTGTCTGAGTCATGATTGGTGCTTTCGTCGCCATGGTAACGACAACATCCTGCAGTGATGCATGAATTCATGCCAAAGGAGTCCAGACCACGTTCTGCTTTGATCACATCCAGAATTAAAAAGCTTTAGTTTTATTGGTCTGATCATTTAATATTTATCTAATAAAACTCTTGCATTTCCACCAACTGTTTGTCAGAATCATTAAATAATCAGGTTTACCTCTGAGTTGCTATAGAAGTCAAATAAAAAGGTTTGCATCACATGACATGGTTTTCTCATACTTTATTTAATCTGCCTGATGGCAACCCAATAATTTAACATTTTGACATCAGAATCAACTAAGATCATGAGCACAAATTAATATTTTGGTGTTAAATATTGATTCCCACAGTAGGAACACAAAGTATTCCTGTAGAATCTTGTGGGTTTCCAGTTGGATGTGGCTAAAGACAGGAAGATGGAGGAGCCACACAGTTTTTGACCTCGCTTTTTCTTTCTCTTTCCTATTTACTCTTTATTAGTGTGGAATGTAACATTTTGTACTGTTTTGATTTCTGAAGTGAACAGTTCAACGTATCAAGAGGATTCAGTCTGAAATGAAGGGGAAAGACGGAGAGCGTCCAGCTTATGGCTTCATTAATTAGGAACCTCCAATTACGACCATAGAGTAAAATGTCTAACAGTTGGATCTAAACTAAACTTACACATTGAAACGGTTGAAATTCACACCTGAAGGGTCTCGGTTTGCGTTTCAGGTCAGAAATACATTAAAAAAGCTAACGCCCGAACAGGGACTTGAACCCTGGACCCTCAGATTAAAAGTCTGATGCTCTACCGACTGAGCTATCCGGGCTCTGAGCGCAGAGGTGCGGAAGACTCCATTCATTCCTCCAAACATGGCGGTGGATGGGCCGAACCAGAGTGCAGCTCTATATCTATTAGAATCAGTTTATCTCTACACACGGCTCGTTCTGTCTGCCATTCTGTTTACTGCTAACACGCTAAAAACAGTACAGGGATCACTTCCGCTTTTCTGCTTCAAAATAAAACACAGCGCGAGTGAAATTAGAGCCAACTCAATTCATTCTGATCGCAATTTCTATTTCTAATTTCTCAGTATTTTTCTGAAATGATGCCAGTATTCCATGGACAGATGAGCCAAACATCATCAGGACAGTTTTGTAGGAACAAGTTTCCTTGTAGAACTTCCGTCACAAACTTTTATGAGATGTAGTTTTGTTTGTTGTCCACCAAGTGGCAGTATTGTACCTGGTTAATTTCTAGACCATGTAATATCTTAATTTCCCACCAGATGGCACTGTTGGTTTCCTCTGGCTTTTCTTTCTGTTAAAACGTCCAATAATCTGTAGGACATTTTGTTAGGAAGATTGAAAACTTCAGCCAGGCAAAAAGCAGCGAAGCGAAGATAACAAACCAGAAACATGTTTCTAAAAAAAAAAACTTCAGCTAATTATCATTTAAATGATCTCTTTAAAACGCCAGACCTGCCTCGCGTCCCGCCCAGCTGGAAGAAACGCTGTGACGCAAATCTTTGTTGACATTTAATATTTATTCTACACATTTTATAGCTTTGGAAAACGTTAAGAATGATTGTGTCGTGTTTGTCCTCCTACAGAAACATATTCAAACAAAAAATATATTTCCCACCGCCATCTTCTTCCATTTTCAAACATTTTTTGAAAAAGCTCCAAATAGCCGCTAGGGCGGCGCTAAAGAGCCGCAGGTTGCCGACCCCTGTCTTAAGTTAAACATTTTTAGTTCGTCATCCAGTGTAAATATCACATTATCGCCTATTTGATGATGATGACAAAGATGAAGAGCAGAACCAGTTTTAGGAGGTCAGAGGTCAATCATTAGGGCAACATCAATGCTCGAGACCAAAGACAACCTGGAGGCAATGCTGCTGGTTAAAATCCAGAGTGCGCCGCTGAGCAACAGGTGGCTCCGTGGCGCAATGGATAGCGCATTGGACTTCTAGTCAAACACTTGAGAGGTGATTCAAAGGTTGTGGGTTCGAGTCCCACCGGAGTCGCATTTTGTTTTCTCGACAATTTCATAAATATATTTCCAGAAGTTCCAGATTTGGTTTAATCTGTCAGCGAGTTCAGTTCCGCTGACAACAATCCACGAAGAGCAACTTTTGTCTCACTGGACGTTGGAACGCGTTGCTTCTATCAGCCACTAGAGGGAGACTGTTCACCGTTAAAACCAAAGGCAGCTCCGACATCGATGAAGCTGGTTAACCCTAACCTCTAACCCTAACTTCTAACCCTAACCTCTAACCCTAACCCCTAACCCTAACCTCTAACCCTAACTTCTAACCCTAACTTCTAACCCTAACCTCTAACCCGGTCTCGTGCTGGTATTTAGCCTTAGATGGAGTTTACCACCCGCTTTGGGCTGCATTCCCAAACAACCCGACTCCCAACATGATCAATACATTGTGATCATGTTCCTCCCAGCATGAAGGAGAATGATCAATACATTGTGATCATGTTCCTCCCAGCATGAAGGAGAATGATCAATACATTGTGATCATGGCGGTTCTGCTGCATCCGCTGTGATTTGTGTGAAACTGCCGTTAACCAAACCAAAATCTGCTCTCATCTGATTCATATCTGTTGTTTTTATCAGAAATCAGAAACTATGGGAAATTAAACTTCATCCAACAATAAAATCATCAGATCAATATTTTATTCTGGTTACCAGAAGTATATTATGTCCAGAAACAGGAAATAAAATCCTCTTTATTGGTCATTATTTATTTATACTGGAGGAATAAAAATGTTAATTATTCTAATTTCAGATGAAGAAAATAATTTTCAATTTAAATGTGATTTTATTAAGATTTTAGAAGGATAGTGGTAAAATACATATTTGGATTTTGATTTACTGACATTCTCAGAATAAACTGCCTTGAACTAAACTCTAGCTGAAAATTATTTTTCTGTTATTCTATTGAATCACTTCAGGAACTCATCAAATCAATAACAAATCCATAATCGATACACAAATTACAGAATCTGGTTGGGTTCCAGGAGCCACTTTAACAAAAAGGCATCTAAACAGTATTTTATTCGTTTTTGTTAAATATTGGTAATTTATATTCTTATCTTTTCAACTTACTTTTTGACTGATTATTTATTTGATAATGTATTGATTATTTTATTGATATTGGTCACAAGTTTATCACAGAGCAATATTTTCAGAAAGTGACGATGTTTTTGTTCAGGTTATGATTAAACCATCTGTTCCTGTGTTCTGACCCGCTGCGGTTCTGACCCGCTGCGGTTCTGACCCGCTGCATCCATCATAAAGGTTCTGGCCCGGTTCTGAGATCCAAAGCTTATTAAGATGATCATCATCTTTTATGGATTCTCTTTGCAAACCAGAATCTCCTGTTTAATTAAATATTTCTTAGTTTTAAAAAAAGCTGCTGTGTCTGATTGGTTAATATATTAATAATATATTATTATATTGATATATTAATATATTAACATAATAATATATTACTATAATAATATAATCTGTTCTGTTGGTTTCTCTACATTTTGCAGCCATGCCAAAAAATATCATTAAACAAAACTTGAGAAAAAAGTGCTAATATTATATGACAACTTTATTCCTGTGTGATTTTATCTAATAATTTTGTTTCTTTATTTCTCATCTTGTTTTGCTGCACCTAAATGTAAAGAAATAAACGTTAATTTCTGTTAATTTCATCCAATCAGGTGTGGCCTGTGATGACATGTTCGTCCAATCGTGTTGCGCTTTTTTCTCGTCCAATCAGATGCTGCCATTGAGAAACGCCCACTTTGTCTGCAGACACGCCCACTTCATGCTCATTGGCTGAAATAAACCCTTTCATCACGATGATGTCATAGTGATTTTATTCTGAGGCAGAACAATGAGGCATTCTGGATAAATCTGAGGTTCTTCAGGACAAACAACAACAGACTTCATGAGACATGAACGGATAAATTATTCTTCCAGTTCTGGTTCTGGAGGAAAACAAACATTTCCTGTTAAATAATCTGCATATTTTGCTCCGAGGCGTCGGAGCCTTTTACATTACAGTCTAAAGGTTTCCACGGAGGTCCACCGGGTCGGATCGGGTCGCGGTTCTGATTGAGCGTCGCTCTTTGGGAGAACAAGTCAAATCCTTAAAGGAGGAAAAATCCGTCCGGCGTTCCCGCTGCTCCCGAACAGGGCCCGGCCGCCGCCGCCCGGCCGGCCGCACGTCCATCAGCGGCCGGCGCCGGGTTATCTGGGAGACACGGGCGCGGCTGTGGGGAAGTGGGCGGAGTCTCCGTTGCCGCAGGGCGAGGGGGGCGTCAGGCGGCGCGGGCTGCCCAGCAGGTCGCCGTTATGCAGCTTCCACAGCAGCTCCTCGTTCTCCATGGACAGACGCTTGTTGACCTTTGACTCCTTCTGCAGGGTCTGCTGCAGGATGGCCTGCTCTGTGGACAGCTGCCTGCAGGGGGCGACAGAGAGGAGAACCGGGTCAGAGAGCAGAACCGGGTCAGACTTTAGCTCTAAACTAAACGCTCACCAAGGAACTAAAGACCAATATGATGAATTACTAAACTACATATTTATTTAACTGACTGAATATTTAGTTTGGAGTTAAACTAAATTATTACTGTTAAGTTTTTCCAGTCTCTTTACAAGCGGCGCCGTTTCCTGCAGGAGCTTCGGTTCAGTTTTCATGTTCGCCTCAAGCTGGATGTTACTCTGGTTTCCAGCTTCTCCTGGAAGATACTGCCTGCTCTCAACTAACCCTGCTTCTCACGCTGCTTTTCTGGTTGTGCAACTTTTTCCTACCACTTTTTCTTTCCACCTAACTTTCCATAGATATCCTTGAACGGTCAGCGATGATCTCTTCGCCTAACGGCCTGAGACGAAAACAGAACCCTCCTCTTCCTCATAAACACAGCAATGATGATGATGACGTTCAGCTGAGGCTCTTACTTTGAAAGAGCCGCGTGTTTGTGCATCCTGGCCTTGTAGTCCTCGTTCTCCTGCTGCACCTTCGTCAGACACTCCTCCAGCCGGACGTTCGTCTCCACCTGCAACACAATGACGATCACAGCTGGAGGTCAGAGTTAAAGGTCACAGCTGGAGGTCATAGGTCGTCCAGCTCACCAGCTTGTCCATCTCCATCAGCTTCTTCTCCTTCTGGTGCAGCTGCTGGTTCTTGATCTCCAGCACCACCTTGAGGCTGTCCAGCTCCTGCTCCAGGTACAGCGTGTGGGAATCCTTCTGGACACAGACCAGCAGGGGGCGCCAGAGTTCAGCAGTCAGACAACCTGGATGATCTTCTTCTACAGTTTTACTGATTTTAAATGTTCTGGAAACAAAAACATGTCCAGAAAACTGGAACACTGAGCCCTTTATTGGTTTTTAACAACAACAACAAAAAAACAAAGTAATGATAAAATTTGTGAAAATCTTTACAGTTTGATCATCAAAGGAATAAAAAGTTTTCAGGCTTTAAAGGTTGTGAAAATCATTTTAACATGTTTCACACTGACATAAATCAACTGAGTTTATTTGATTAAATAATATTGAAGACAACTTTTCTCATTAAGTTATAGAGTGGAGAGCAGGGTGTCCAACATGTGGTGCGGGGGCCATGTGTGGCCCTTGAACTGATTCTGTGTGGCCCCAACTGCATTTTATTCAAGAATACAAATTCATTGGTGATCACAGTCAAATTATTATATAAAGTAAAATGTTAATATGACAGAAAATATTAGTTACATACTCTGCTCTCCACGGCCACAAAAATGGTTATGATGGGCCAGATTTGGCCCGCGGGCCTCGAGTTCGACTCGTCTTAAAGGATCAGATTCTGGTTCTGAAGCTTTCGGCTGATTTCATCTAGAAAAAGTTTGAATTTTTCATTCTGGTTTAATGTTGAAAGAAAAGTTCCTGCTGGAGAGAACCACTCAGTACCACCATAAACCTCCTTTAGATCAGCGGTTCTGACCCGGTTCCGGGTTCTGACCCGGTTCCGGGTTCTGAGTGTTCGGTGCCGTTTACCAGACTTTTGTCGCTCAGGATTCGTTGCCGCCTCTCTTCTTCTGCTCTCAGTTTCTGGCTCAGATCGTCGTTTTCAGCCGACAGCAGCGAGATTTTCTCCTGCAGGAAAAACACAGACAGACTGGTTCTGATCCGCCTCCCTGACCCAAACGGTTCTGCCTTCAACACTCCACATTTTAGATTTCTGATATCTAGCCCAACAGAATCTAGGTCTGATTTTCTCTGTCCCTGCTGAAAAGCTAGCCACGCTAACCATGCCAATAACGCTAACTATGCTAATCTATGTTAGTCCACGCTAACGTTACTAATCATCACTAATCATGCTAATTCTCATTCGTCCAAATCCATGCTAGCCATGCTAATACAAGATAACTATGATAATCCATGCTAATCTCGCACATAAACATGGATGGATGTGGAACTGGGGATTTGTTTTTTATAGCCATCTGAATGTTGTCAATGCTCTTATTTTGGAGGAACAACACAGGAAACAGTGGGCGTGGCTCTTACAGCGAGCGACGTTTCGGTTTCCTTCAGCGTTTTCTGCAGATCCTCCAGTTCAGTCACCTGGACTCTCCTCAGCTCTGAAACAGGAAGTGAAAAAGGCTTTTAGCTTCTGGGACTAAAATTATTCATGATTTTAGTCCCAGAAGAGACACCTGACACACACACACACACACACACACACACACACACACACACACACACACACACACACCTTGTATGGAAGTGTCGTACTCCTGTTTCACCGCCTCCATCTTCTGGCTGTGACTCTCTTCCTGTTTCTTCTTCTCTACTTCCTGTCGGCTCCTCAGCTCCTCCACCTGAGCAACAGAATCAACATGGCGGCTTTAGCGTCCTGACGCGGCGTTAGCAGTTAGCTGGTCGCGTTGCGTTCTCACCTGCTGCTCCATCAGCAGTCGGCATTTATCGGCCTCCTCCTGGTACAGCTGGTGGACTTTGTCCCACTCGGCCTGGTAGAAACTTTTCAACCTGCAACACAGAGAAACATGAAGGTTCTCCTCCCAGCCACCAGGGGGAGCAAAAGCTGCATGTGCTCCTCATTTCCAGAAAGTTCAAATATATTTATACGTCATTATATAAATAAGATTTATAAAATAAACTAAAATACTAACTCTGCTCTCAAACTGGCTCAACACTCAACATCTGAATTTTATACACATTTTTTAATACAAAAATGCATTTTTGTATTTTATCCTTTAAAAAAAGAATTTCTGTTAAAAGATTAATTCTAGTCAAGTTGTGTAACCGTGGCCTGTTTTGCTTGTAAAATACCATTTGTTCTATTTTTGGAGCATCGAAAAGGTTGCGAATCGGGTCACTGGAGATTCATAAACATGGGCCCCAGACGCCCAGGGCCCCAGACGCCCAGGGCCCCAGACGCATAGAGCCCCAGACGCATAGAGCCCCAGACGCATAGGGCCCCAGACGCCCAGGGCCCCAGACGCATAGGGCCCCAGACGCATAGGGCCCCAGACGCATAGGGCCCCAGACGCATAGAGCCCCAGACGCATAGGGCCCCAGACGCATAGGGCCCCAGACGCCCAGGGCCCCAGACGCATAGGGCCCCAGACGCATAGGGCCCCAGACGCCCAGGGCCCCAGACGCATAGGGCCCCAGATGCCCAGGGCCCCAGACGCCCAGGGCCCCAGACGCCCAGGGCCCCAGACGCCCAGGGCCCCAGACGCATAAGGCCCCGGACGCATAGGGCCCCAGACGCCCAGGGCCCCAGACGCATAGGGCCCCAGACGCCCAGGGCCCCAGACGCATAGGGCCCCAGACGCCCAGGGCCCCAGACGCATAGGGCCCCAGACGCATAGGGCCCCAGACGCATAGGGCCCCAGACGCATAGGGCCCCAGACGCCCGGGGACCCAGACGCATAGGGCCCCAGACGCATAGGGCCCCAGACGCCCAGGGTCCCAGACGCCCAGGGTCCCAGACGCCCAGGGCCCCAGACGGCCCCTGACGCTGCAGGTTCTCAGGTTCCTCCACATCAGGGGTGGAATCCTCTTGGACGTCTCTCCGGTCCGACACTCTTGACTCCAGCAGCTGAATCTCCGCCCGAGTCCGGTCCGGTCCGGTCCGGTTCTGCAGAGTTCTACTGATGAACTCGTCATTTGACTCGGGTGTGTTGAAGCAGAGATGCATCTAAAGTTGCGGGAGAGCGGCCCTCCACTTGCCCAGCCCTGCTCCACGTCTTCAGACGTTCCCCTCATAAATCTGCAGGTTCAGTGGCTGAACTTTGACCCCGACGTTTCCAGGTGAGTCGATTCTTACCTGTTCTCCAGCTGAACCAGCTCCTCCTGGTGCTGCTCCTGCGCCCTCCTCAGCGCCTCCTCCAGGGTGGACCGCAGCTCCTCCCTCTGCGCCTGCAGGTTCTGGCAGCGCCGCGCCGCCGCCGCTGCACGGGACAGGAACCGGGTTACCACGGCAACGGCGGGTTCAAAGGGCGGCGGCGGTTTTTGGAAACAACACGGAGATCCTGACGTTCCATCTGCAAGTTACGCTGAGGTATGCAGGCCCGCCGGTTCTGATGCGTCTGCAGCAACACGGCCAGAACCGCGACCCAGAGCCGTGTTGCCATGGCGACAGCCGGCTCTGAATGGAGCTCTGTCACCATGGCAACGGAGACGACGAGCAGCTGACCCGAACCCGGTTCTGATGGACGACCCGGTTCTGATGGACGACCCGGTTCTGATGGACGACCCGGTTCTGATGGACGACCCGGTTCTGATGGAGCCAAATGTTCCTGAACTGAACCGGGTTTGGGTTCTGAGCAGCTGCAGGAATCTTCCTGTAGAATCAACTATAAAGTTGATTCTACCTGTATCACAACGCGACTGTCTGTGTGTGTGTGTTGTAATGTGTGTGTTGCAGTGTGTGTGTGTGTGTGTGTGTGTTGCAGTGTGTGTGTGTGTGTGTGTGTGTGTTGCAGTGTGTGTGTGTGTGTTGTAATGTGTGTGTGTTGCAGTGTGTGTGTGTTGTAATGTGTGTGTGTTGCAGTGTGTGTGTGTGTGTGTGTGTTGCAGTGTGTGTGTGTGTGTGTGTGTTGCAGTGTGTGTGTGTTTGTGTGTGTTGCAGTTTGTGTGTGTTGTAATGAGTGTGTGTTGCAGTGTGTGTGTGTGTGTGTGTTTGTGTGTGTTGCAGTGTGTGTGTGTAATGTGTGTGTGTTGCAGTGTGTGTGTGTGTGTATGTGTGTTGCAGTGTGTGTGTGTGTGTTGCAGTGTGTGTGTGTTGTAATGAGTGTGTGTTGCAGTGTGTGTGTGTGTGTGTGTATGTGTGTTGCAGTGTGTGTGTGTTGTAATGTGTGTGTGTTGCAGTGTGTGTGTGTGTGTGTGTGTGTGTGTGTTGCAGTGTGTGTGTGTGTGTGTGTGTGTGTTGCAGTGTGTGTGTGTGTGTGTTGCAGTGTGTGTGTGTGTGTGTGTGTGTGTTGCAGTGTGTGTGTGTGTGTGTGTGTTGCAGTGTGTGTGTGTGTGTGTGTTGCAGTGTGTGTGTGTGTGTGTGTGTGTGTGTGTGTTGTGTGTTGTAATGTGTGTGTGTTGCAGTGTGTGTTGCAGTGTGTGTGTGTTGTAATGTGTGTGTGTTGCAGTGTGTGTGTGTGTGTGTGTTGCAGTGTGTTTGTGTGTGTGTGTGTGTTGCAATGTGTGTGTGTTGCAGTGTGTGTTTGTGTGTGTTGCAGTGTGTGTGTGTTGTAATGAGTGTGTGTTGCAGTGTGTGTGTGTTGTAATGTGTGTGTGTTGCAGTGTGTGTGTGTGTGTGTTGCAGTGTGTGTTTGTGTGTGTGTGTGTTGCAATGTGTGTGTGTTGCAGTGTGTGTTTGTGTGTGTTGCAGTGTGTGTGTTGTAATGTGTGTGTGTTGCAGTGTGTGTGTGTTGTAATGTGTGTGTGTTGCAGTGTGTGTGTGTGTGTGTGTGTGTTGCAGTGTGTGTGTGTTTGTGTGTGTGTGTGTTGTAATGTGTGTGTGTTGCAGTGTGTGTGTGTTGTAATGTGTGTGTGTTGCAGTGTGTGTGTGTTGTAATGTGTGTGTGTTGCAGTGTGTGTGTGTGTGTGTGTGTTGCAGTGTGTGTTTGTGTGTGTGTTGCAGTGTGTGTGTGTTGCAGTGTGTGTGTGTGTGTGTTGCAGTGTGTGTGTGTGTTGCAGTGTGTGTGTGTGTTGCAGTGTGTGTGTGTTGCAGTGTGTGTGTGTGTGTGTTGCAGTGTGTGTGTGTGTTGCAGTGTGTGTGTGTTGCAGTGTGTGTGTGTTGCAGTGTGTGTTTGTGTGTGTGTGTGTGTGTTGCAGTGTGTGTGTGTTGCAGTGTGTGTGTGTGTGTGTTGCAGTGTGTGTTTGTGTGTGTGTGTGTGTGTGTGTTGCAGTGTGTGTGTGTGCAGTGTGTGTGTGTGTGTTGCAGTGTGTGTGTGTGTGTGTGTGTGTTGCAGTGTGTGTGTTGCAGTGTGTGTGTGTGTTGCAGTGTGTGTGTGTGTGTGTGTGTGTGTTAAACTTATTTTTGTTGGTTGTCTTTATCATTTTTAGAGTCGATTCCAATTTGCTTTAAAATCTCGATATAAACAATAAAACACTTTTCAGTGAAAAGTGCCACGTTATATTTAATATTATATTTAGCTGCTGCTTTTATTAAAAATAACTGATTAAACTGTTATTCGTGGGATTAGTTGCATTGTTATATTTTTCTAAATCCTTCTGATCAGGAAACCCATGTGAGGGCTTTCAAAATAAAAGCATGTGCTCCATTTCGCAGGTTTTCTGCTCCGACGCGTTGAAGACGTTCATCATGCGCTCATAAAGCTGTGGATGACTGTTTGCAGGTCGCAGCCTGCATGCAGCAGCTGCATCAACACCACTATCAGCCGTTGCCCTGCGGGCGTTTCACATGCAAATATGGGGCTAGACGGAGCGCGCTGCAGTAGAGAAGCTCTTACCGAGCTCTGCTCTGAGCTTTTCCAGCTCTGACGACAGATCTTTCTTCTTCTTCAAGGTTTCCTCTCGCTGCAGAGAAAACAGAGGAGAAGCGGTAAGAAACTGAATGTTTGCAGCTCATCACCAGCCCACAAAATGATTAGATTTTATTCTAGTTACATGAAAAATGTGTTGAAACTTTACCATTTTGGTGGCCTAAAGGCAGGCTGCTGTACTTATAAATCCTAAAAACAATTGTATTTATTACAAGTCTTATGGTGGCAAAATAAAAAATATATATTAAAAAACAGGCAGAAAATCTAATTTTAACTCCATGATTCACTAGGAAATATAATTTGGGAAATGTGAACACATTAAGACATCAGACGGTGGATCATCTCTTCTTCATTTTAACCCTCAGTGTAGTGGCTGTTTTTGGTTTTCCACCCAATTAATTATATTAAAACACAAACCAGATTCCTTAGATTGTTCTCAAATATCTATAGAAAATAGTTTAAAAACATTTAGCTTAGCTTAACTTCTGTGTAGCCTGGTTGAGTTTAGCTAAGGCTTAGTACAGTCTAGTTTTCTCAAGTCCTAATATTAATTTGTATTAATAGGCTAATTTGATGCTAATCTGGTCTAGTGAAAGTTCCTGAGTTTAATCTGTTTTATTTTAACCTCGCTTAACATACATTAGCTTAGCTTTGATTAGCTTAGCCTCTTATTTTAGCTTATTTGACCCAGGTTAGCTTAGCCTATATTAACTTAGGTTATATCAAAAAGGATTACTTAAGCTTAGCTTAGCAAAGCTGTGACTTATCTTGACTGACATTTTTTATCTTTTCTCAGTTTATTTTTCCGAACTTTAGTTTTTGTTAACTACCTTTGTTAATTAGCTTGGCTGAACTTAGTTAAGCCTAGATCTCCTTATTAAAAAAAAAAAAAAAACTATCAGCCCATTTTAATCCTGCCTCACTCTTAAATTAGCTTTAGCTAGCTTAGCTATAACTAGCCTAGCCTACATCAGTTTGGGTGAAATTAAATAGAATTATGACTTATCTTGACTAACATTTTTTATCTTATATTTTTTCTGTACTTTAGCTTAAGTTACATGACATTAGCCTTCCTTACGTTAGCCTAGCTCGTCTAATCTTCCTTAACTCATGTTTTTTTTAGCTTAAGCTAGCTTATCTTTTGTTAGTCAACCGTAACATTACAGTTTATCTTAGCCCACATTCACTTTTATCAGTTTATCTAATCTTAGATTAACTTTGACCAACTAATCATTTAATCTTGAGGATGAAATAATCCTTCCGCCCGTTATTAACCTCAGTTTCAATAATCTTAAATAATCCAACATAAATCTGCTCAGGTTCTGGACTGGATTCAGTTTCAGTGAAAAAGCAGCAGAATCCAAACAGTCGTGATGAGACGTTGTTGAGTTTTCCAGGTTAAAGCCATGAGGAACCGGTCCGAGTCAGAACAGCAGATCGGCGCCGAGTCCGGATCTGTGTTGACACAACAGCTCCACGCTGCCGACCCGACAGAACTCCTCTCAGCTGCAGGAGATTACTTCCCGACCCGAAACATCCCTGACAAAGAAATGTTTGTTTCTTCCTTTGTTTCTGTTTTCGTTTAATCATTTCTGACCGGGTTCTAGCAGAACCTTTGCTCTTGAAATGGATCAGCCATTAAAACCGGTTCCTCTGTTTACACTCGTAAACATGAAACGGCTCAGGAAACATCAGAACCACGTTTCCTCTGAAGAGTCCATGCGTGAAGAGATCTGGTTCTGGTCGGACAGGAGTCCAAACAAAACGTCTCAGATAAAATCAGAGATAAGAGATCAGCAGGTCCGTCCCACATCCTGATCCCGACCAGAACCCAGAGACTTTATGACAACAGCTGGAAAACTGCCTCCGAGTTTCCCTGCAGAACAACGACCAGAACCGGACCCACCTTCCGCTTCCTGCTGCGCCGGTTCTGGGGGCTCCGGCTGGACCCGGCTGGGGCTTTGCTCTCCGTGGTTCCCATGTTTCAGCAGCTCTGAAGCCTCGGCGCGCCGCGGCCGCTCCTCCCCTCCTACCTGGTCCTCCTCCTGCAGCCGGGATGCGCAGGAATGCCGGTTATTCCCGCTCCGCCTCGTCCCAAACCGGTGCGTCTGCATTGGAGGAATTCCTCTCTCACCGCCTCAAAGTTTATTCCACAGTCATTTCTGTCAGGTGATTCGTGGAAGGAGGGAAACTGGAAGCCATGATGGATCCAAGCTGATGAGTCAATGAGTCATCTGTCTCTGAGAGAAGATCTTTGTTTTGGTTGGTCCAATGATCCAGAATCGCCGCAGATTTTGTTTTCATTGATTGAGAAGGAAAACCCAGTGATGCTCTCTGGCTCCCCCTGGAGGCTGCCTGTGGTATTCCCAGTTCAGGACGGACTGGGAAACCTGCAGGAATCCCTGATCCGTTTCCTCTTGTCCTGAGACGGAACCAACTTCCAAACTTTATCACCACATCCAGCAACTTTCAAACCCTCTGGTGACTCAAAACAGAAAACTTGGGACAAATGAAGCAAATTAAATTCACACAGAAACAAAGATGGAAACCTGAAGGTCCAATTCAAACAGAGACCAAAATCATTTGCTTGATGGAAAAGTTGGGTCGCGTTTCTTCATCCAGCCAACAGAACAGAACCAGACAGAACTCTATGTTCTGATCCATTTATGTTCTGATTATGTATAGTTAAATATAGGAGATGGCAATTTACCTTACAGAAAGAAAGACAGAAAGGTTTACAAGTTAATTAGACTGGAACGACTAAATGCAGCCGCGACCCGCCCTGTTGCTCCACCAGCCGCTCATTTAGACGCTCAAACAGGACAAACTATCCTCAAACGGTTAAGCAACAAAATGATTCTGAGTCAGGTTTAATTCAGCCTCAGGCCTCTAACGATAACCAGTCGGGTCGGGTCGGGTCGGACCTGGTCGGGCCCAACCCATGTTCACTGTACCGTCTGTGGGCTCGATCCGGTCCGGGTGGACTTTTAGGATCGATCTAATATCTGATGAGATCAGGAGGAAGATGTTCATAAAGTGGATTCATTTCTGGTGCCACAGTCTGGTTTTTATTTCTGCTTCCTGTTGATTTGGATTCTCTGTTCAGCTTGTTGAATATTAAACTGAATGAAAATTAAATGCAACTGAACAGATTACGTCAGAATCATCATCCAAAAATTAACGAGCAAAACTAAAAATGTGAAAATGACAAGAAGAAAGTCTGGTGCGACTGAAAGTTCACACATACTGTATAAAATCTCAGGAAGAAGTCATAAAACAGAACTAAGTGCTGTGCTCTGATCCTCATGCAGCGTTTGGTTCTAACGGGCCTGGACCCGGCAGCTTTCAGCACATCTGTCAGCTCAGTCACGGTTCTGCTGCTGACAGGTTTCACTGAACCGAAGAGACGAGCTAAAGCGCATCAGACTGCTTTGATGCAGCTGAGAATCGTTTTCCTGCAGGAGTCGCAGTGCCGGCCCAGTGAGGTTCTGCTGCGGTTCTGCAGGAAACCTGCAGCCGCAGATCAGGTAGAAGTCCAGGCTTCAGCTGCTGCTGAATCAGGAAGGTTATCTGGACGCAGGAAGGAATGTTTATTAGCCTTCAGTTGCATAACAACGTCGGGTCGTAAACCTGAGATAATGATCGACTTTCACTGCAATGCGCAGCGCTAACGGCTGTCTTGACATCCAGAGACAGAAACAATCAGAATGAATCCCCTGGAGGATCAGAGCTGACGGTGTGATTATTCACAGCCCAGCAGCTCGGATCAACAGAACCGGAGCAGGAACAGGTTCCAGCAGGAAAGTGCTCCGAGGAACACTTTTAACCTTCGTCTGGAAGTTTTTATTATTAGTCAGAGCAAGGCAAATATTTACTGAACAGCTTCTGCATCCAGGATGTGGAGATCCTGCTGCTCCCGGCCAATCAGCAGCCAGAATCAGCAGCCAATCAGCAGCCAGAAGAAGCCTGCAGCAGCCAATCAGCAGCCAGAAGAAGCCTGCAGCAGCCAATCAGCAGCCTGCAGCAGCAACAACTGATAAGAGGTCTGTCAGACTCAAACCAGCCTGAAAGTCAGAGCTGATTGGAAGTTGATGCCCTGCAGAGGATGGTGAGGGGAGCTGAGATCAGGATCCGATCGATTAGATTATAACTATAAACCTGCTGCCAGGAGGTGAACATGACTTGCATAACTATTACTAGGGTACACATTCTGAGTTCTCTACTTCGCTCCTGTTGGTCTGGAAGCCATGGCTCATCAACGCTTTGCGCTGCATTTGCCTACCAACATGGCGGCGCGGATCACTTCCGCTCCAGATTAAGAATTTATCTGGAAAACTTAATTCAGGGGAAGCTAAGTGCGCTAATCGTTTTCAAAGTTAGCTAAAGCGCTAAGCACAAAATTAGCCTCTGAAAAAATTAGTGAAAGTGTGCCACTACTGCTATACCTTCAGTTATTCCGAAAATGTTTTAATAATCAACCGTTTCAGAGGCTCTCAGAATAACTGAGTCTTTTTGAACATTTTAAAGCAGCAATCAGTGAACAGGTGAGTTTGGATCGAATGATGATCCAGCAGGTAAATGTCACCAACATCTTGGTCTTAAAAACTTGATGAAATCAGGAAGAGTTGATGTTTTGGGGTGAGGTTTAATTTTCCTTCCTTGTATTATTTGTGGGATTTTTCATCATCGCAACCAAAGAAATGAGAGCAAACTGGGTTTTTACACAAGAGCCAGACTGAAAAGGAAAAACGTGCCTGTTGAGCTCTGGGTGGAAGCCAGTTCAAGGGAAGCATTTCACTCAGAGAGCATCTCAGGTTAATCACGGCCCGGTTGTTGCCGCTGCGTCCATCATCGCGCTGCGTTTCAGCAGCTTGTTTCTGGGCGAGGACAGAAAGCCGTTCCTACCGACGCTGTAAAGACAGGCTGCTGCGCTGCAGACCGCCGGAGGGCAGGGAGCTGTGAAACAGATCTCTGATGGTCTCCACTCGTTTAGCTCAGGTTGGACTGACCTGTAATTTACGAGCCCAAACACATTCGACTGGAACAGGAAGGAGGCGGAAGAAGCTCCTCTGCTTGGGAACATCTGAATCCAGTCAAATGTGACAAGTTAGGAATCTGCAGCGGCTCAGAAACCATCAAGCTGCAAAAACTCCTGTCAGTTCCCAGCTGGAAAACCAGCTAAAGACCCTGTCAGGTCAGAGGTCACGCTCTGCCTCCAGAGGAAGTGCAGTGCCTGTTCCTGAGTGACGGATGGATGAGCGGTTCGTCTTGCAGCCTGGTTTTATGTTGACCTGAAGGTCCTGAGTTACGAACCGCGACTGAAGGATTCAATCTGCAGGGGATGGTTGTTGAGCTTCTTTACCTCACAGGGAGTCGGCTGAGCTGGATCAGCATCTGAAAACTGATACTTACCTTCAGAGGTCATCCAGGCAGGAAACCAGGTGAGCTCTGAGGATTCAGCGCTGAACTCAGGTCAACATGATGCTGAACTCAACAAAATGAGTTCCCAGATTTCCATGTGTATCATCGCTCTATAGCTCTATAACCCAGACTGCATGGGCCGCTTTTACAATGTTACCAGACTAGAACCACTAAACCAAACTGGTAACCAAACTCGCACCGCTCAGAAGAAACAAGGCCAAATAGATCAGATGAATCTTCCCATGGTGATAACTTGGCAGGATTCCTGAATGGGAAGGTTCCTTACCAACGGTAAAAAGAAGTAGTTTCGTCCCTGAAGGTGGAGAAGCTAACATGCTAGTAAACATGCTGATCGTGAATCATTCTGGATCAAACCACCTGCGGGATTCTGACCTTCGGTCCGTTCTTAGAGGAGTGGATTCATGACGGGTCGCCTGGTACCCCGGAGAATGCATCAAACTTCTCATCAAACAGTCCAAACACCTCTAACCCAGTTAAATCTCCTCAGTCAGAACCTTTGCGGATTGTCTTTGGCAGCTTTTCTTCCCAGTTTCAGCCCAGAACTTTGTTCCGGGTCGTTTTCAGTTAGTGAAAGGAACGGTGCAAACGGAAGTACCTCAGAGAACAGGTGCTGGATGACCGCGGCCAGCGCCTCCACCTTGCGGTTCCCCTGGACCAGAAGCCTCCTCAGCTGGACGATGGCCTGGTTCTTCCTCTCCACCTGCTCTTTGTTCTGGTTCTGCTTCGTCGGCGCCGCTCCGGGTCGGGATGCGTGCTGCGGCCGGGGCCCGTGTTTAGGGCTGGACCGTGACCCGGTTCTGGCTTTGAGCCCCGGACCGGTGGGTGCAGCGGACCCAGATGTGGCGCTGGAGCCATCAGGAGATGGGACTGGGAGGGCTGGTGTTACTGGGCTGTTGCCGTTCAGAACATCTGGAACCTGAGGACAGAAAACTTTAGATTTAGATAAAATCCTTCAATCTGAGCCAAAGGAGGCGGTGCAGCCGGACGTACCGGCTCAGCGGGGAGGTTCTGCTGGTGCCCAGTGGTGATCTGGGAGCCACCGCTCGCGGGTCTCGTCGGCGCCTCCCGCGGCTTGTTTTTGTCCACTGCAAGAGAAAGTCGAGACGTCAGAGTCCGAGAAACGTTCAGCATGGCGTCCGCACAAACCCAAACACTCCTCCTCCAGACATGAGAGAGAAAACAACACGGCCGACCCGCCTGGTTCCGAGGAGACGCGCCCCTCGCTGCTCAGGCTCACACTGATGCATGATGGGAAACCGAGGTAATGATGGACGACGTTAAGCAGTCCATTACCAGAGCAGAAATATTGAGAGCTTCCTCTGAATGCATCCATTTACCGATCGACCGTCAGCTCCTCGGGTTCTGGTTCTGACTCACCAGCCGGGTGGAAACTGCAGCCATCTGCAGATATCTGAGCTTCAAATGACATGAAACTGGACCGGACTGATTTAGTCCTGCAGCACCAAAAGCGAAAAGGTCCAAAAGCAGCTGACTGGATCAGAACCAAACAAACCAGCAGAACTAAAGCCAAGATATTTTGTCACAGTTTCGTATTTCAGACAAAAACATCAAGATAGAGTAAAACAATTATTAATCAAAACCACCAGTTCTGAGCTTTTGCACCAATCTGGTGTTTTATGACCAAAATAACAGATAAATATATTGTCTATTTATTCATGGATTTAGCAGAAAAAATGATTATTTAAATGAAAATGTTTATCAATATGTAGCTTTCAATTAAAATGAGATTCACTGGCCTGTCACAAGAACAGGTCTATTAATTGTCCCAGAAGTTATTCCCATAAATGCTAATATTGTTGTTTTGAGACCATTTTCCAGTAATAACATGTTGACAGCATAATAATGCAAGAACTTATCACTAAACCTTAAATACCAATAAAGGTTTGACACTGGAAGAGCATTTAACCCTTTCCTCCTGAGGCTCCTCTAAATCAGAAGCAGAGTGAGACCTCTCACTCTCTGGGATCTGCGTTCCTGTAGCTAGTGACTGATCTGATGATCTCTTGCCTCAGACTTTAAATCAAAAGCTGAAAAGCATCTCCTTTAGTTTCAGGAAACGCTGCCCCCTGCTGGCGGCCGCTGAGCAGGACAGCATGACTCAAGCCTGCTGTTTCTCTACGGTCTGGTTATTTTAGGACCAATGTGAATCAATCTTTATTGATCATTTACTAACAGTTTCATTCCTCATTCAGGGACTTTGGCATCTTCACAGCATCTGAACTGGGTCGGAACCGGTCCAGACCTTCAAGAGGAGAGCTGTCAGATTTAACAGCACTCCAGCAGACAGAGAGAATCATTTTATAAGGATCAGAGAAACACAGCGACACCCAGAAATCTCTTCAATATGAACCACAAACCATTACTAATTAAGATCTTCCTGTTGGGATTGGTGAGCAATGGTGGCACTGGGCAGCGCTAACTAAAAAGCTAGCTGCGCTACCTAAAAAGCTAGCTGCGCTAACTAAAAAGCTAGCTGTGCTAACTAAAAGCTAGCTGCGCTAACTAAAAAGCTAGCTGCGCTAACTAAAAGCTAGCTGTGCTAACTAAAAAGCTAGCTGCGCTAACTAAAAAGCTAGCTGCACTAACTAAAAGCTAGCTGCGCTAACTAAAAGCTAGCTGCGCTAACTAAAAAGCTAGCTGCGCTAACTAAAAGCTAGCTGTGCTAACTAAAAAGCTAGCTGCGCTAACTAAAAAGCTAGCTGCGCTAATTAAACCTAGCTGCGCTAACTAAAAAGCTAGCTGCGCTAACTAAAAGCTAGCTGTGCTAACTAAAAAGCTAGCTGTGCTAACTAAAAGCTAGCTGCGCTAGCTAGCTAGCTTTTAGGTAGCTAGCTAAAAGCATGAACCATAAACAGTAGTTCTGCTAATAGTGAAGCAGATGATTGGTTCTGTTAGATGGTTCTGAATAAATTTGAGGTTTTAGTTTCTACACTGATGGAAAATCTGTGTGAAAATATAAAGTTTGAGTTTGGTGATGGGAAAAATGGTCCAGTCTCTTTAAAAATTGTGACCCATTTTGATCAACAGATTTTTCTTCACAAAAAGCTTCAGAAAACCCGGATAATGATCCAGTCCGGATCAAAGCAAGGAACATGGACAGGTGAGGTTTCAGGTGTGCTGAGGTGAGTTTGTACCTGGAGCCTCTCTGGCTGAAAGGCAGAGCTGCTGAGCCCAGACTGGAGGAGGAACCAGACAGTTAGCATGCAGGTCCAACAACACAACGAAGAAAAACCAGAGAGGAGGAAGAGGAGGAAGGTCAGGAGGAAGAGGAGGAAGGTCAGATGAACCTTCAGCTTTAAACACTTTGTTTCTCCATCATGGATCTTTAAGCGACGGTTCGTCTGCAGCTTCAGCAGCAGCATTAAGGTTCCACTGGCTATAATTATCACTGTTACTGTTTCTGCTGGTTCTGTTGGACCCAGTACGATCAGAACCGTTCAGAACTTCCTTCCGGCTGGTCTGGTCTGACTGCAGGCGGACTCTTACTCCCTGTCACCCGTTTGCAGCCAACTGGGCTGACCGGTTCCCTAGAACAGCTTCCGTTCTGTCCCAGTTTGACCTGCACAGCAAATGATAAATAGAAAGGCCAGTTTTTGTTCCTCCGGTCCGAAGCTGGATCAGAACCAAACGTCTCTGGTTTCACGTCTCAATAAATGACTTCAGTTTCTCAAAATAATGAAAGTAAATCAGCACCACCAAGCATGATGCTGCCACCACCGTACTGCAGTTAGCATGACAAGCATCCCTGGTGTCCCTGCGGATGCGAGGCGTCCAGTTCGTTTCTCCCTGCCGGTTCAAACTTCAGCCTGGCTTCTGAAGTTTGTTTCAAAATGTTCTGAGAACGTTTATATTCAGCTAAAAAGAGTTTCCACCCCGAAGAGGGTTTATCGGTGACCCGGCTGCCGGGGAAAGATGCGTTTACTGACCAGAAAAAGATCGGATTGTCAAGTTTCTGACTGAAGACATATACATTTCTTTCTTATCCCAGTTTTCTGAAGTGAAAGTCTAATTTTCTAAAATCTGCTCCAATAACAGATTATTTTAGTACATTTACATTTATAAATTTGTTTCTACTTAAAAATCATAAGTTTACCAATTATAAGAGAAAACCGTCAAGAATCTGGTTGAATTGTAGGAAGGTTATTTTAATATTTGGGGATTAATGTCATTAAATGTTCAAAATAATTTAGATACAACTGATTTTTTACATTTCAGTGGAAAAATATAAAATAAAAATGATATAAATGTTGAGCCAGCAGCTTCAGACTGAAAATAAAAGAACATCTCGACCTGTTCTGGGTCGTGGGATTATAATCCAGCAGCAGATTACGGGCCGCCTCAGCTGAACGCTGCAGCTGGATGACCTACATCCAGCGGGGAAACGGGTCTGTGGATCCCGACCCAGAAAACACACAGCGGCGGCCAAACACGTGCCGCTGCGCTCAGCTGGGCGAATCCTCCCAGAAAGGAGCCGCTCTGAACAGAACCGGGTCCATCTGGACCAGAACCCAGCCAAACACGTGCTGGAACACGGCTGTTAATCCAGATGAAATGTTCAAGGTGGAGGAATTAACCACTAATCTGGATGAGAAACATGAAATCAGATCGGATCTGAAATATTTGGTTCTTGCCAGAATAAACAACAATTTACCATCCAGAACCAGAATTTATTAAAGATCCAGTTTACAGTTAAAGGGCCGGTGTCGCGTAAAATTAGTGTTTTTAGCTTTCCATCATTTTAATGTTTTACCCTCATCGGCCCCACCTGCGAGGAACAGCTCCTTCAGACTAGCCAGTAGCAATTAGCAAACACCTGCGGAGCTCATGATAGGAGCTGCTGCTCAGAGCAGCTGGTAAAAACGTTGGAGGGTTCATAGAGGAGCCATGTTGGGACGACTTCCTGGAGGCGGAGCTTCAGAGAGAGCAGGAGCTCTTAAAGAGACACAGGCCCAATTTCAAGCCATTAAATCAGGAAGTCAAATATCTTTTAGGTCATAATTGACACATATAGCATTTTAATAAAAACTGATGGTAACATAGTTACATGATTGTGGTATAAAATGGCCGCCATGTGCCTGGAAAACACATAATACCGGTCCTTTAAATCTTCTGTTCAGCATCAATATCTGACTGATTCAACCAATGAGGTTAAAGGTCCAACCTGCCAGAAACAACTTTCTACCAGATGACACCACAATCTGACCTCTGACCTGGGCTGCGACTTCGGTAACGGTCTGCCAGCATAATGTGCCACTGCTGCCCTCTGGTGGCGACTCTACGTGTAGTTTATTAAATAAAGAGCACATCACGCTCTTCAAAAAGGTTATTTTTCCAAACTGGTTCAGTTTAAACTCGGTCAGCTAAAAGGCAGAAGCAGCATGTACTGATCTACTTCCTGATTCACTTTGGGGTCAAAGGGCGCCACACACGTCAATAAATCTGTGCTTTAAACTATAAAGAAATGTCTGAACTGAGGCCATTTTCACACATTAAGATTCATCTACACCTTCAAGATTAAAACTACAGAGATAAATTTGTTTCAATATTATTGCAAGCAAAGAACACATCTAAAAAATGTAAAGAAAAAATGCATTTTAAAATAAACCTTTGTAAATTGTCAAATGTATTGAATTGTTTTTTTCCCCCCAGGTCCAGAGCTGGGATTAAACATGGCCGCCCAGAGATTAGCCAATCTGTTTCAGATTAAAACTGTTTGGTTCCTCAGATTTCTCTGTTTTCTCCAGAGCGGTTACTGAGAAAGAGGAGGAGGAGCTGAAGGACGGAGGGCATCCTGTTCATGTGTGGGTCACATGGCGCCGCTGAAACAGCCGGCGGCCATCTTTATTCGCTGCTGCAGAGCCACTCGTGCAGAAAGCGTCCACGCTCATCTGTGTGAACACAACTGACAAGCAGAGCTGAAGGGACAATCCGCACAATATTGCAGGCAACAATGGCTGCCGAGGAAGAGGAGGAGGAGGAAAGGGGGGAGGTTTGGGGTTAGACCGACATCACAAACAGTGAGAGGAAGAGGATGGCGGGTTCATGATGAAGATAAGAGGAATGAAACTAAACAGATTTAAGAACTACGACCTGGTCAACCAAAACGACGTGGATCGTCATGTGGCGCCTTAAGCTCCGCCCATAGGTCGGGGGAGGCAATCGCTATGGGGACTGCAGGAGGAGGGAGAACTGGGACAAACTGGGACAGGCTGGGACAAACTGGGACAGAGGGAGACAAACTGGAGTGAATTGGGTCAAACTGGGAAGTGCTGAATATATGAAAGTGACAGAAGAGAGCGATGAGAAAGGATGAGACAGAGGAAAATGGTTGGATGGTGGTTGGTTGATTGTGCGATGGTGGTTGGATGGTGGTTGGCTGATGGTGGTTGGTTGATGGTGGGATGATGGTTGGATGGTGGTGGTTGGTTGATTGTGGGATGGTATTGGTATGGTGGTTGGATGGTGGTGCTTGGTTGGGAGGGATGGTGGTTGGTTATTGTTGGATGGTGGAGGCATGGTGGTTGGTTGATGGAGGGATGGTGGTTGGTTGATGGAGAGATGGTGGTTGGTTGATGGTGGTTGGTTGATGGTGGGATGATTGTTGGATGGTGGAGGGATGGTGGTTGATTGATGGTGGGATGGTGGTTGGCTGATGGTGGTTGGTTGATGGTGGGATGATGGTTGGATGGTGGTGGGATGATGGTTGGATGGTGGTGGTTGGTTGATTGTGGGATGATGGTTGGATGGTGGTGGGACGGTGGTTGGTTGATGGAGGGATGGTGGTTGGTTGATGGAGGGATGGTGGTTGGGTGATGGTGGTTGGTTGATTGTGGGATGGTGGTTAGCTGATGGTGGTTGGTTGATGGTGGTTGGTTGATGGTGGTTGGTTGATGGTGGGATGGTGGTGGTTGGTTGATTGTGGGATGGTATTGGGATGGTGGTTGGTTGATGGTGGTTGGTTGATGGTGGGATGGTGGTGGTTGGTTGATTGTGGGATGGTATTGGGATGGTGGTTGGTTGATGGAGGGATGGTGGTTGGATGATGGTGGGATGGTGGTTGGTTGATTGTTGGATGGTGGAGGGATGGTGGTTGGGTGATGGTGGGATGGTGGTTGGGTGATGGAGGGATGGTGGTTGGATGATGGTGGCATGGTGGTTGGATGATGGTGGGATGGTGGTTGGTTGATGGAGGGATGGTGGTTGGGTGATGGTGGGATGGTGGTTGGGTGATGGTGGGATGGTGGTTGGGTGATGGAGGGTGGTGGTTGGGTGGAGGGATGGTGGTTGGGTGATGGAGGATGGTGGTTGGGTGATGGAGGGATGATGGTTGGTTGATTGTTGGATGGTGGAGGGATGGTGGTTGGTTGATTGTTGGATGGTGGAGGGATGGTGGTTGGGTGATGGTGGGATGGTGGTTGGGTGATGGTGGGATGGTGGTTGGTGATGGAGGATGGTGGTGGTGATGGAGGGATGGTGGTTGGGTGATGGAGGGATGGTGGTTGGGTGATGGAGGGATGATGGTTGGTTGATTGTTGGATGGTGGAGGGATGGTGGTTTGGTTGATGGAGGGATGGTGGTGGGATGGTGGTTGGTTGATGGAGGGATGGTGGTGGGATGGTGGTTGGGTATGGAGGGATGGTGGTTAGGTGATGGTGGGATGGTTGCTCGGCCAGGTCCAGACCTGCGTGGAACACCACGGTGTTTTTCCTGCATCCTGGCAGAAGCTGCAGGTTTCGGAAAAGTCCTTTAGCTGTCAGCTTCACATGGAAGTTGGACAGCGAGAGTCTGGGGGACCAGAGCATCGTCTCGCCTCGGGTCGTCCTCGTACCGGGAGGATTCAGGTCCTCAGGATAAAGCAGTACCAAGGTTCTTTCTTCCCTCGGATGAAGAAACGTTCAGCCAAGCTAAACCCGGGGGACCGACCGACTGGGTCTTTGTGCGTCCGTGTCTCTCTGCTTTTGCCACGTGGGTCCAACCGAAGCCGAGTTTCTCAGATTCAGAGATTCAACCAGGAATCAGAGTCTGTTAATCCTCCACCTGCTCTTCATCGCATCAAAGCCACAGAAAAATAGGAAAAACACAAACATACGAGGAAGAGGAGGAGGAGGAGCGTGTTTCTGTCGTACGATTCAGAGAGGAGGGAGAAAATGGCGCCAAAAATAGTCGGCTTCTTCTCCTCCGTCGCTCAAGTGGAAAAACCAGAAGAAGAAGAAAAGAGGAAGAGAACAGAGATGGAGGAAGAGGAAATTCTCTCTTTTCCCAGAGTCTGTATCCTGATTCACACAAAGACGAGCACGTCCACCACCCCTCTGCTGCTGCAGCTCTGCCTGGCAAACACAGAGAGGAAGAGGAGGAGGGAAAGGAGGAGGAGATAGGACGGAATAATCTCCCTTCACTTTCCCTCCATTTAAAGAGCCACAGATCACACACACACACACACACACACACACACACACACACACACACACACACACACACACACACACACACACACACACACACACACACACACACACACACACACACCACACACACCTCTGCCAGCAGCAGGTTGAGTAAAACGCAACGCAAACAATGTCCCGGCCGGAAAACGGTTGTAAATAATAAACGTAAATTAACGAAGCTTCAGGTCAGCTATATTTTCCTCAAGGAATTTTAATAATCCAGGTACTCAAATCATTTGAGGAGTCGTTTCAGTCCCAATCCAGATCTGAATCCACCTGATGTTGAGATATTCTCCATCCAACCTGAATCAGGAATCTGATCCAGCAGGTCCCAGATGCAAACCAGCGCCCCCAGCTGGCAGCAGGGCGTAGTTTCACCTTCAGGAGCCCGGCGCTTCACTGACTGCAGACTGACTGGAGACTGACTGCAGACTGACTGCAGACTGACTGGAGACTGACTGCAGACTGACTGGAGACTGATTGCAGACTGACTGGAGACTGACTGGAGACTGACTGCAGACTGACTGGAGACTGATTGCAGACTGACTGCAGACTGACTGGAGACTGACTGGAGACTGACTGGAGACTGACTGGAGACTGACTGGAGAGTGACTGCAGACTGACTGCAGACTGACTGGAGACTGACTGGAGACTGACTGGAGAGTGACTGCAGACTGACTGCAGACTGACTGGAGACTGACTGGAGAGTGACTGCAGACTGACTGGAGACTGACTGGAGACTGACTAAAGACTGGAGAGTGACTGGAGACTGACTGCAGACTGACTGGAGACTGACTGCAGACTGACTGCAGACTGACTGGAGACTGACTGGAGAGTGACTGCAGACTGACTGGAGACTGACTGCAGACTGACTGCAGACTGACTGCAGACTGACTGGAGACTGACTGCAGACTGACTGCAGACTGACTGGAGACGGACTGCAGACTGACTGCAGACTGACTGCAGACTGACTGCAGACTGACTGCAGACGGCCAAAAACACCCAGTAAACACGTTTAAACACCAAAAATTCAATATGCAGGAACAAAAATGATGAAATGAGACATATTCAGATCAGTTTAGAACCAGCAGATTAAAAGGAGGATTTCTCATATTCAGGATCGTCTGATATAAATACTACATGTTTATTAAATGCCCCAGTCGCTCCACTGTCAGCCCGGTTTAATTACAGTTTACTGGTTCCGACCCGTTTATGTGCTTCAGTCCAAATTCAAGGAACGGCGGTGGTGCTCACAAATAATTATAGAAAAACATTTAGTCATCATAATCCAGATTACTAAAACAAGCCTAATCTAGAGACTTTCAGAAATGATGACGATGTTTTCCATTTTCTCACAGATAATAAACTTAAACATTAAGTTTAGCTTTGATTTGCTGAGCTAAATAGTTACCTCCATACTAAATACTTCATATTGCTAACGAGATATTTAGGTTGTAGCAAAGTGTTTAGCTTCATGCTAAATATTTACCTGGTTAGTTAATATTTAGACTGAGGTAAATATTTAGTCAGGAAGTTAAATCAAAAAATGTTGAATTTGCTAGTTTACGATTTCGCTTTGAATTAAATCGTAAACTAGTAAATAAATATTTAGCTAATTAGACATTTAGTTAGCAGTTAATTTTTAGTTTGCCAACCTAAAAATGAGCTTCAGACTAAAATCTATTTAGAAAGCTAAATATTAACAACCAATGAAGGTTCTCCTGTTGCTGCATTATTGCCGTTTCCATGAAAACCACAGGCAGGAAGCCCCGCCCACCGCCTCTCAGGTGGCTTACCTGTGCTGTTCAGGCGACTGAGCCGGGTCGAGCCGTTCCTCTGCAGCGGGGGCTTCGCCGACCCGGGCGGCGCCGCCTTCGCCGCGGCTGGCCGCCAGGAGTTCTGATGGCGTTCTGGTTGGTGCCGGTCGGGCTTTTCAAACCTGCAGGTCCAACAGAGGAGACGTGAAACACCATCGTCTCTGACTGGAGTCAGAACCGGGTCAGTCAGAACCGGGTCAGTCAGCTCCACTCATATCTGCAGAATCAGCCGGTTCTGGTCCAACAGTCCCATCTGTTCTGGATCACGTGGTTCTGACATAAATATCTGCCGGCAACCGACCCAGCTGATAATCCCCCTGGGTCAAAGGTCACATCCGGAGGGTCATCACCACTGCAGCCTTCGCAGTATCCGTCCCGATTTCAACTCTGAAACCGGAACCAGAAGCAGATCCAGAACCAGAGCGATCCTGGTGGCACCGGCCCTGGAGGTTCTGCCTACCTGTCCCGGTTTAAAACCTCCTCACCTGTCGTCGCCCTGGCCTGCAGAGGCAGCGCTCTGCCCTTCATGGCGGCCGCTGGAGGCTTGGGGGCGGAGCAGGACGAGCCGTCACTGGAGCACTGGAGCACTGGTGCTGCCTCTGCTGGGCGGTTCATCGGGTTTCGACCCGGCAGCTGCAGGCGAGAAAACGCTTCAGGTTCAACCAGCATCACATTCCTCCATTTTCCTTCAATTCTTATTTCATTCAGGAAAAACCTTCACTGGTCTTAAAGGGCCAGTAGTCTGTTCTCCAGACACATGGTGGCCATTTTATACCATAATCAAGTAACTATGTTACCTTCACATAGTTACATAAAATATAACCTGAAAGAAATTTAGGTCTTCCTGCTTTAACGCTTCAAAATTGGGCTTCTGTCTCTTTAAGAAACTCCTACTCTTTCTGAAGCTCCGCCTCCAGGAAGTCACCCAACATGGCTCCTCTATTAACCCTTTAACGTTTTTACCAGCATTGCTCTGAGCAGCAGCTCCTATAATGAGCTCAGCAGTTCCAGCTGTTTGCTAATTACTGCTGGCTATTCTGAAGGAGCTGGGTGGGGAGGGGCTTCGCCTCAGAGGCGGGGCTAGGCCCACCCAGGTGTTCTGCAGCTGAATGGTTTTCTGCAGGTTTGTTTCCAATGAAGGAAAAACGTGAAAGTTAATTTTACATGATACTGTAAAGGGAAGTTTTATGAATTTGATCTATTCTGACATTAAAAACTAAAATCAGCTCCTTTTTTTTTTTGAACTTACATTTTTATTATTATTTTCTACAGAGCAAATATACAGCCATACATCAGTGGTACATAATACAAATGTTGACAATATAATGATTTTCATAAAATAAACATCTCAGCATAATATCTTACAACCTCAGCATCACATTTGTTGACTTCTTACTAAACAATCCTAAAATGGAAATAGACACTTCGTGGGATAGTTAAACACCATATGACAAACCTATTGGGTTTATTTACATCAACAGAGCTTCTGCTGGGCCCCAGCGCCGACTAAAAGTGTTTTTTGAAGTCTTAATGAGTATGTTATTTGTTCCATTCTATACAATTCCCTTACTTTTTGAACCCATAAGTCATAGGAAGGTGGCTCCAATTGCATCCACCTGATTGTAATACATTTCAGGTTTGCTGCTGTAAAAAGGATATTTAGCAGATATACTTTAGCCCGTCCTTGCAAACCCTCTGGTATAATACCAAGTAGTGCAACTGTAACATCCTTTGGTAAAACCCCTGGAAAGATATGACTTATGGCTCCGTACATCTCGTCCCAGAAGTTTTGAAGTTTGGGGCATGACCAGAAAATGTGTGTATGGTTGGGGTTTGCTGAGCCACAGTTTCTCCAACACAAGCTTGGAACCGTAGGATCCATCTTAGCAACTACATCTGGGGTCCTGAAATATCTGCTAATAATTTTCCATTTAAATTCCCGCCACATGTTCGAGTTTGTAACTCGATGTGCTTCAGTCCAGACTCCCTCCCATGTTTCATCAGAAATGATTTTGGCCGTCTCTGCCTCCCATCTTTGCTTTGTCCAAGTGGGTTTATTAAGGTTCATTGACAGAAATACACTATATAACTTTGCTATCAGTTTTTTATTCCCTTCCCCTTTCTGGAAATGGATTAAAGATTTTCTAATGGTGTGGGATTTAGTATTCTTTTCCAGTCCCTGTGTGCAGACAAGAAAGAGCGCAACTGTAAATATCTAAAGAAATCACTCTTCAAATGACATAAGTCCGTTCCTGTCAATCAACTGGTGAATGAATATAAGCCCCTGTTCAGCCCACTTAGAAAAATTTCTGTCTAAGAAATTGGGTGTGAAGGATTTGGCATGTCCAATACTTGTTAATATTGATAAACCTCTTGGTAGCTTGAATGAAATTCGCACTTTGTTCCAAATGTTAAGAGTGGTTTTAGTCCACAGTGGCAGTTCCTTTACTGGAATATCTAAAAATGGCAATACCTTTAATGGTACTGAGCACTTTGCTTGCTCAATACTCAGCCATCTTGTTTGAGAGTCCTGTTGGATCCATGAAATTAAAGGCCTTAACTGAGCTGCCCAAAAATAGTATTTTAAAACAGGAAGACTGAGACCCCCTTCCATCTTACTTCTTTGAAGTGTTTTATATTTTATGCGAGGGCGCTTGCTTTGCCATATGAATTTCGATATCATTTTATCCAATTCAAGGAACGTAGATTTTGGTATGATAACCGGAACCATCTGGAACAAATACAATAATCTGGGTAACAGATTCATATGAATGGTTTCAATGCGGCCGAGGAGGGACAGAGGCAATGCTGACCATCGCTCTAGATCCTTTTTAATTATAGCCAGCGTTTTAATGTAATTGATATGATACAAATCATTTAATGAGAGAGGAATATTGATGCCTAGGTATTTAATGCCCCTCCCTGGCCACCTAAAGCCGCTTTGTTGTTTAACCCCTAGTGGAATATTGCCATTGACATCCATTGCCTCTGTCTTATCAACATTTATTTTATAGCCCGAAAAATGGCCAAAAAAGAGATCATTTCCCTCAGACGTGGTATTGATGATGTAGGATCAGACAGATACAAAAATCAGCTCCTTTAAGATGTTCATTACAACAGAACCCGACAGAATCAGAACCTTCAGTCTGCTTGGAAAACGCAAAGCATCAAATTTAGAACCAGTTCAGAAATACAAGTCCAGCCTAAAAAGGACCGAAGAGTAACAAAAGTTCAATTTTTTAAACTTTTTATCTGATTGATAAAAGCAGATTTTATATCTTTTCTTTAATAAAAACATTTGTTGTTTTTTTTCCACTTCGTTTTAAAATTACAATTTATTTCTACATGAAGGATTTTTTGTTTTTCTTCTTGAATCTCGACCTGGAAGAAGATCGATGTTACCTCTCAGGTGAACCACAGAACCTGAACCTGAACCAGAACCAGAACCAGAACCTGAACCAGAACCAGAACCAGAACCTGAACCTGAACCAGAACCAGAACCAGAACCTGAACCAGAACCAGAACCTGAACCTGAACCCGAACCAGAACCAGAACCTGAACCAGAACCAGAACCTGAACCTGAACCTGAACCCGAACCAGAACCAGAACCTGAACCAGAACCAGAACCTGAACCTGAACCCGAACCAGAACCAGAACCTGAACCAGAACCAGAACCTGAACCAGAACCCGACAGCACAGCCGGTCTGATCAGAGAGCATGAATCTCGCCGCTCCACCTGTGTGAAGGTGTTTCAACACCTACGCCGCTCTCAGGGTCAGCATCACCATGGCAACCAGCTGGTTTCCGTGGCAACCCGATCACACCATCAGAAATGTGTCGGTGAGAAAAAAAACGATGTTTACACGATCAACTCCAATCCTGGAGGAAGGAAAGGTAAAATATACCAAAAAAAACCTTCACTGACCCTGGCCTCTACCTGACCTTTACCTGACCTTTACCTGGCCTTTACCTGGCCTCTACCTGACCTTTACCTGACCTTTACCTGGCCTTTACCTGGCCTCTACCTGACCTTTACCTGACCTTTACCTGGCCTTTACCTGGCCTCTACCTGACCTTTACCTGGCCTCTACCTGGCCTTTACCTGGCCTCTACCTGACCTCTACCTGACCTTTACCTGGCCTTTACCTGGCCTCTACCTGGCCTTTACCTGGCCTCTACCTGACCTTTACCTGGCCTCTACCTGACCTTTACCTGGCCTCTACCTGACCTTTACCTGGCCTCTACCTGGCCTCTACCTGACCTCTACCTGGCCTTTACCTGGCCTCTACCTGACCTTTACCTGACCTTTACCTGACCTCTACCTGGCCTCTACCTGGCCTCTACCTGGCCTTTACCTGGCCTCTACCTGACCTTTACCTGGCCTCTACCTGGCCTCTACCTGACCTCTACCTGACCTTTACCTGGCCTTTACCTGACCTTTACCTGGCCTCTACCTGGCCTTTACCTGGCCTCTACCTGGCCTTTACCTGGCCTCTACCTGACCTTTACCTGGCCTCTACCTGACCTTTACCTGACCTCTACCTGGCCTCTACCTGGCCTCTACCTGACCTTTACCTGGCCTTTACCTGGCCTTTACCTGGCCTCTACCTGACCTTTACCTGGCCTCTACCTGGCCTTTACCTGGCCTCTACCTGACCTCTACTGACCTTTACCTGGCCTTTACCTGGCCTCTACCTGGCCTTTACCTGGCCTCTACCTGACCTTTACCTGGCCTCTACCTGACCTTTACCTGGCCTCTACCTGACCTTTACCTGGCCTCTACCTGGCCTCTACCTGACCTCTACCTGGCCTTTACCTGGCCTCTACCTGACCTTTACCTGACCTTTACCTGACCTCTACCTGGCCTCTACCTGGCCTCTACCTGGCCTTTACCTGGCCTCTACCTGACCTTTACCTGGCCTCTACCTGGCCTCTACCTGACCTCTACCTGACCTTTACCTGGCATTTACCTGACCTTTACCTGGCCTCTACCTGGCCTTTACCTGGCCTCTACCTGGCCTTTACCTGGCCTCTACCTGACCTTTACCTGGCCTCTACCTGACCTTTACCTGGCCTCTACCTGACCTTTACCTGGCCTCTACCTGGCCTCTACCTGACCTCTACCTGGCCTCTACCTGACCTTTACCTGGCCTCTACCTGGCCTCTACCTGACCTCTACCTGGCCTTTACCTGACCTTTACCTGGCCTTTACCTGGCCTCTACCTGACCTCTACCTGACCTCTACCTGACCTTTACCTGACCTCTACCTGGCCTTTACCTGGCCTCTACCTGACCTCTACCTGACCTCTACCTGACCTTTACCTGGCCTTTACCTGACCTTTACCTGGCCTCTACCTGGCCTTTACCTGGCCTTTACCTGACCTCTACCTGGCCTTTACCTGGCCTCTACTTGACCTCTACCTGGCCTTTACCTGGCCTCTACCTGACCTCTACCTGGCCTTTACCTGGCCTCTACCTGGCCTCTACCTGGCCTCTACCTGACCTCTACCTGACCTTTACCTGGCCTTTACCTGGCCTCTACCTGGCCTCTACCTGACCTCTACCTGACCTTTACCTGGCCTTTACCTGGCCTTTACCTGACCTCTACCTGGCCTTTACCTGGCCTTTACCTGGCCTCTACTTGACCTCTACCTGGCCTTTACCTGGCCTCTACCTGACCTCTACCTGGCCTTTACCTGGCCTCTACCTGGCCTCTAACTGGCCTCTACCTGACCTCTACCTGACCTTTACCTGGCCTTTACCTGGCCTCTACCTGGCCTCTACCTGACCTCTACCTGGCCTTTACCTGGCCTTTACCTGGCCTTTACCTGTCAACACGTCCTTCTCTTGTTTTAAGTCCATTATTTACATATTCTTGTTCCGGTACAGTTCAGGCTCTGTACTAATATTTACTTCTGATTTTGCTGGAAAAGTTCATTTACAAACATGAAGTATTAAAACAAGCCAGATAAATTATCCAAATTAAAATCAGATGAGATAAACTAAACTCATTTTTACTTATTAACAATAATAGATCTATTTTCTTTCAATTGTAAGTACAACAAAACCAAAAAGCTAAACTAAAATAATTTGAGGTTAAGAGGATAAAATTATGGTAAAACAAATCGTAAGCTGTACATTAAGATAAGGTCATTAAAAAAATTGCAAATATAGATTGGGCAGCTAAAGTTAAGGAAAACTAACGCTAAGCTAACCTGAAGGCTAACCTAACCTGAAGGCTAAGCTAACCTGAAGGCTAAGCTAAACTAGGCTAAAACATTTAAATACCTTTTCTTGTGTTAAAACGTCTAATCCAGCCGTATGCTAGTCCTGAACAGAGCAGAGAATTAGGAGAAACTCAACTGAGATTCCTGACAGACTGAGCGAAGCGTCATCCTTCATAGGCGCCTGATGCTTACCTGAGCTTTCAGGTAATCTTTTGGAATCTTTGGGAATCTTTGGGAATCTTTGGGATCGCCCCCTGGGAGCTAAAACCTTCTCTGCATCAGGATTTTTCACAGAAATAGAAACTACATGCATCTTTCTTTCTGGACCCAAAGTTACACTTTCTCTGGATCTTTACTGAAATAAAGAGGAACAGGAAGTAGTTTTAAGAGAGCAGCAGCGCTCAGACACCAGCAGATCTCTGGATCTCTACCACATGTGACCTTTGACCCCAACTTGCTCAAATTCCCTGTCTCTGCAAGATTGGGGCAGAAGACAGTTTTATTTCACTCCAGCAACCCGACTGCTTCACGTCTGTCCCGATTAAATGGCGGCAGAGACGCAGGAAGTCCAGAGGAAGACAGGAAATGAGTGTGGAAGCCCCGCCCCCTCACCTTTGCTGCTGGCCGCGTTGATCTCGCTGATCCCCGCAGACGAAGAGCTCTGGCCGGCCGCCACACCTTTCACAGGAAGCTTGGAGGCGGCGGGAGCAGGTGGTCGCCATGAAGACCCGGGGGCTGACTGCTGATTGGATGATGGTTTGGGAATGGAGGCGGTGGGACTGTGAGCGACTCCTGGAGCTCGAGGTTTGGGAATACCTGGAAGCAAATACAACGACCGTCTTCAAGAAAAGAACGAGAAACAGAAACAAATTCAACTTTCTCTGAGAATCAAGATGCAGACATTATGAAGATGTTTCCATCCATCCATCCATCCATCATCCATCATCCATCCATCCATCCATCATCCATCATCCATCCATCCATCATCCATCATCCATCCATCATTCATCATTCATCCATCCATCCATCATCCATCCATCATCCATCCATCCATCCATCATCCATCCATCATCCATCATCCATCCATCATTCATCATCCATCCATCATCCATCATCCATCCATCCATCATCCATCCATTCATCATCCTCCATCATCCATCCATCATCCATCCATCATTCATCATCCTCCATCATCCATCCATCATCCATCCATCCATCATCCATCCATCATCCATCCATCCATCATCCATCCATCCATCCATCCATCATCCATCATCCATCCATCCATCATCCATCATCCATCCATCCATCCATCATCCATCATCCATCCATCATTCATCATTCATCCATCCATCCATCATCCATCCATCATCCATCCATCCATCCATCATCCATCCATCATCCATCATCCATCCATCATTCATCATCCATCCATCATCCATCATCCATCCATCCATCATCCATCCATTCATCATCCTCCATCATCCATCCATCATCCATCCATCATTCATCATCCTCCATCATCCATCCATCATCCATCCATCCATCATCCATCCATCATCCATCCATCCATCATCCATCCATCCATCCATCCATCATCCATCATTCATCCATCATTCATTCATCCATCATCCATCCATCCATCATCCATCCATCATCCATCCATCATCCATCCATCCATCCATTCATCATCCATCCATCATCCATCCATCCATCATCCATCCACCATCCATTCATCATTCATCATCCATCCATCATCCATCATCCATCCATCCATCATCCATCATCCATCCATCCATCCATCCATCATACATCATTCATCCATCATTCATTCATCCATCATCCATCCATCATCCATCCATCATCCATCCACCATTCATCATTCATCATCCATCCATCATCCATCATCCATCCATCATCCATCCATCCATCCATCCATCCATCATCCATCCATCATTCATCATCCATCCATCCATCCATCATCCATCCATCCATCCATCATTCATCCATCCATCATTCATCCATCATTCATTCATCCATCATCCATCCATCCATCCATCCATCATTCATCCGTCCATCATCCATCCATCATCCATCCATCATCCATCCATCATCCATCCGTCCATCATCCATCCATCATCCATCCATCATCCATCCATCCATCATCCATCCATCCATCCATCCATCATCCATCCATCATTCATTTATCCATCATCCATCCATCCATCATCCATCCATCATTCATCATCCATCCATCATCCATCATCCATCCATCCATCATCCATCCACCATCCATCCATCATCCATCCATCATCCATCCATCATCCATCCGTCCATCATCCATCCATCATCCATCCATCATCCATCCATCCATCATCCATCCATCCATCCATCCATCCATCATCCATCCATCATTCATTTATCCATCATCCATCCATCCATCATCCATCCATCATTCATCATCCATCCATCATCCATCATCCATCCATCCATCATCCATCCATCATCCATCCGTCCATCATCCATCCATCATCCATCCATCATCCATCCATCCATCATCCATCCATCCATCCATCCATCATCCATCCATCATTCATTTATCCATCATCCATCCATCCATCATCCATCCATCATTCATCATCCATCCATCCATCATCCATCCATCCATCATCCATCCACCATCCATTCATCATCCATCCATCCATCCATCCATCATTCATCCATCCACCATCCATTCATCATCCATCCATCATCCATCCATCCATCATCCATCCATTCATTCATCCATCATCCATCCATCCATCATTCATCCATCATTCATTCATCCATCATCCATCCATCCATCATTCATCCATCATCCATCCATCCATCATCCATCCATCATTCATCATCCATCCATCATCCATCCATCCATCCATTCATCATCCATCCATCATTCATCATCCATCCATCATCCATCCATCATCCATCATCCATCCATCCATCCATCATTCATTCATCCATCCATCATTCATCATCCATCCGTCCATCCATCCATCATCCATCCATCATCCATCCATCCATCATCCATCCATCATCCATCATCCATCCATCATTCATCATCCATCCATCATCCATCATCCATCCATCCATCCATCATCCATCCATCCATTCATCATCCATCCATCATCCATCCATCATTCATCCGTCCATCACCATCCATCCATCATCCATCCATCATCCATCCATCATCCATCCGTCCATCACCATCCATCCATCATCCATCCATCATCCATCCATCATCCATCCATCCATCATCCATCCATCCATTTGTTTTTCTTCTTGAATCTCGACCTGGAAGAAGATCGATGTTACCTCTCAGGTGAACCACAGAACCAGAACCTGAACCTGAACCTTTTCAGGTTCAGGTCCATCATTCATCATCATCATGGATCATGGATGATGGTTCCTTAATCCATTATTCATCCATCCATCCATCCATCATCCATCCATCCATAAATCCATCCATAATCCATCAATCATCCATCCTTAATCCATCATCCATCCATCATCCATCCATCATCCATCCATCAATCATCCATCATTCATCATCCATCCATCATCCATCCATCCATCATCCATCATCCATCCATCCATCCATCATCCATCCATCATCCATCATCCATCCATCATCCATCCATCCATCATCCATCCATCAATCCATCCATCCATCATCCACCCATCCATCCATCATTCATCATCCATCCATCCATCATCCATCCATCATCCATCCATCATCCATCTATCCATCATCCATCCATCCATCATCCATCCATCTATCCATCATCCATCCATCTATCCATCATCCATCCATCATCCATCCATCCATCATCCATCCATCTATCCATCATCCATCCATCATCCATCCATCCATCATCCATCCATCCATCCATCATCCATCCATCATCCATCCATCATCCATCCACCATCCATCAATCCATCCATCATCCATCCACCATCCATCCATCATCCATCCATCCATCCATCATCCATCCATCCATCCATCCATCATCCATCCATCCATCATCCATCCATCTATCCATCATCCATCCATCATCCATCTATCCATCATCCATCCATCCATCCATCATCCATCCATCCATCCATCCATCCATCCATCCATCATCCATCCATCATCCATCCATCATCCATCCATCATCCATCCACCATCATCCATCCACCATCCATCAATCCATCCATCATCCATCCATCATCCTTTCATCATCCATCCACCATCCATCCATCATGCATCCATCCATCATCCATCCATCCATCATCCCTCCATCCTCCCATCATACTTCGTCCAGCTCTTCCTGTTAGTGCGTCCTGAAGAGTCCAGCAGGTCCAGTTTGTCCATCATTCTGTACTGGGACAGGTTGTGGTTCCATCAGCTGCTGCTGGTTTTTTATGCACAAGATCTGAGATCTAATTCCCCCAAATTCCTCAAAATCCTTCAATGTTTGATTGTGTAGAAACAGATATGTGCAAAATTCTTCCAATGTTTCTCTGAGAAATTTCATTTTCATTCAGTTCAATTATTTTCTCACACGTTTGTTGTCAAAGCAGAGATTCCTGGAAGACCACATGGATCAGGACAGCGAATGAAAACCTGGAAGTTTTGTCCTCCAGGAGTCTCTTTGTCCCAGGAGCTTTTGTTTTGTTGCTCCGACTTGTTTGTGGGACCAAACTGTGGCTTGATGCTGAACTTTATTGTTCTGCAGAAAAAACCATTTGTTGTGCCGTTAAGGACTCAGAAAGGAGGCGTTTAAACTTTTCACAGAGTTAAATATAAGTCTAAATTACAGCTGAGAAACCAGCAGACAGGACTGATCTTTCTGCAGCTGGATGGTTTACAGTGAAAGAACTGTGCAGCACTGCGTCACTCGTCATTTCTGCAGACTGATTCACACATTCTTTCCAAAGAGCGAGGCAGAGAGAATCCCTGAGAGAAACAAAAGGCTCCGGTTCCTCACACCCAGACCAGGAGGAGGGCAGAAGCTGCGGACATCAGACCGCCACCCACTTTGTGGAGCAAAACGCTCCGGGTTTCAGACGGTAAAACCAGGAACACTTTGTTCCGCAACTTCCTGTCACAGCACAGAGAATTACCTATAAGAAAACCAAGAAATTTCACAGGAACAAAAGAAAGATCTGCAAACATAAGAGGATGGATGAAATGCCAAACAATATTTCACAAAAACGCATCAAAAAAACCAAACGAATCCAAGCAAAAATCATCCATTCATCCATTGCGTTCAGGTCCAAGAAGTAGCAGATTCAGGAATCATTAACCAGTTTCTCATGTGGATCTCAATGAGTTTCCTATTGGAAACACCAACATTTTCCTGAATCCCCTCAGGATGGAGCTGAAAACGTCCAGACGGCTGCAGCTCTGCACCGGATGCTGGAGCTCCTGCACTCATCACTACGGCCGCATCATCCACACCACTTCCGGCCCGGCTCCGGCCCACTTCCGGCCCGCTTTAATCTAACTCCGTTTTGTTTTCCTAGAAAGTCCGGTCCGGTTGGTGAGGTGTGAATGCTAAGCTAACTCTGGTCCTCCAGAACCCGGTCAACCGGCCTGGGTTTCCAGAGACCGCTCCACAAGCAGGACTACAGAGCAAGGCATTCTGGGTAAAAGCAACCATGCTAGGCTAGCGTTAGCAATGGCTAAAGAGAAATCCTCCACCTGCTAAATTTTGATTTGATCCATTTATTATGAATATTTTCTGTTTAGGTTTTAATGGCTTCATGTTTCGCTATAAAGTTGTGATTATTACTCAGTTTAACTGAAATAATTCCAACAATAAGTGAATGATTCTAAGCCAAACATTGCTGTAAAACACACCGAACCACAGGAACCTTTCCCTGGACTTCGTGCTGCTGCTCGCTGCCTTCAGCCGGATCGGAACCACCCAGAACAGAGCAGGAAACATCTGGCTCAGTTTGGGTTCGGAGCAGCTGGGTTGGGTTACCTCAGGAATCACAGTTGGGTAAGGGCTGAGTTACAACACTCCATTACAGTCCCGCCAGAACCAGAACCAGACCAGAACCGCTCCCCACTTAGCCTCCAACCCGACTCATGAAATCACAAAAGACTCAGGACTCGAGTTTTTACTGTTTACAAGTCCAGGAAAACAACCCGAGAAACAAAACCTGCGGATTATTTCACTCAATCAACAGGAAATAAGAGGAAACAAAACCGCTAAAACTGAAGGAATGCTAAGTGTGACCGGTGGACTTCTGCGTTGTGTGTGTGGTGATCGGACGAACCACAAAGTATCAAGTCTGGGTTTGGAGGCAGTCTCCGTTTATTGATCTGTCAATCGGGAGATATTAGCATTAGCACATAGCATGTGCTCCAGTTCTCCAGCCCAATCTATACAACATAACACTGTTATAAAGGAGTAATAACTCAAATGAAAATATTCAAACACATATAATCAGCACAGATGGAAAAATAAACATTTGAAGAATATGAATGAAAGGGTTCCAATGGACCACAAAACTTGCCTCTCCCCAGTGGAACGAATGACAAAAGGGAAGAGGAAATGAATAACTTAACATTTATAACAGTCCTGGAGGACCCTGAACAAGAGAAGAAGAAAGTAAGGCGGAGCTGGAGGACCAAACCCCCCATAACAGAGACAGAAGAACACAAGAACAGCCAGATGCAAACTGACAAATTCATTAAAGAAAACATTTTTGTGTAAATATATAACTATTAATATAGACCCAGTTACATTAGCTAAGCTGCAAAGGAAGCTAAAGCAAGTGGTGATGCTAGGTTATCATAAACTTGCTAGCATAACATCTCTGGTTGCCTTCTGTTGTGTTGTTGTGTTTGCATTTTATTGGCCCTTCAGGGCCACCATAAAACTTCTCCATGCAGGTTTTCATGCTGTTCTGTGAAGATGAGAAACTGAAGCGTCTTTGTTTTGAGCTGATGATGCTTCCGGTGACAGCAGCCCTGAAACTCGCTCTGCTGCAGTTCCAGGTTCCCACAGTTCAGAACGTAAATCCATCTAGAAGCTGAACAACAACAGACGGACCGGTTTTCCAGATCGGCATCGAGTCCCTGCAGCCCGGCGCTGCCGTGGTGGCAGCATCATGCTGAGGGCTCGGGTCGTCTTCACGCAGATCAACATGCGGTGAGTTCAGAACCGGATCGTCTCAGTTTCCGTGTTCACCGGGCCCAGGAAGACATGTGGATGGGACCGGTTCCACTGACCAACGGCCCAAACGCAAAGCCGACTCACAGAAAAGAACCAGACTGGTGGAAATCCCGGTCCGAGGTCCGGAGGCGTCCGCTTGTCCCACCGGAACCAGGACAGACGGCTCATTGTCCTCCAGAGGGGAACGCTCAGGACAAAGACCCGCTTTCAGACGGAGACGGTCCAATGGTGTTTCCCAGCCGGACCCGTTCAACGAGTCAGAACCAGAACCGGGCTTTTAGTACAGAGCCAAAGATCTGTACTAAAAGGACGGACGGAGTGACCTCTGACCTCTGCAGGAAACAGAAACTGTCCGACCCAAAGCAGCTGGAGCGGTTCTGGACCCGGTTCCAGATACGGCAGTTAGAGCGGAAAACACTCTGCGCGTGCAGCTGGATTTACACCTCACACACACACACACACACACACACACACACACACACACACACACACACACACACACACACACACACACACACACACACACACACAGAGACTCACCCTGGTTCTGGTTCCTGGCTGCGGGTCCGTCAGCCTCTCCCCCGGCGCCGTCCGGTCCCAGTGGCGGCGCCGGCCCCCGGTCGGGCCGGCCGCTGCGTCCCGGCGGCCCGGAGGCGGCCCTCTGTAGGAAGAGCGGATGTTTGGCCACGGCGCTCCAGCCCAGCGGCCCGGAGCGCCGCAGCGACACCAAGGCGTCGGCCATTCCCAGCCGGAGCGGAGCCGAAGACGAGGAAGACGAGGGGAGGAGGGAAACTGGGCCGGCTCAGAGGGAGGAAAGTCTCGGCCCCTCTACAAACACATGGAGAGTCTGGAGGCCCGGCCTCCGTCTGCTGGAGGAGCGGCCCCCGACCCGCCCCCATCGGGTCAGAACCGGGCCTGAATCCTGCAGATTACTGCAGCATACCACCGTCCTGTGTCGACACGCTCCCCGCAGCTGCGGCTCGCTCTGAGCGCGTGCAGCAGATCGGTTCTGGTACCGCAGCGGCTGCTGGTTCTGAGTCCAGACTGAAAAGATCCAGACCGCCTGAACCAGAACCAGTTCAGAGACCAGCAGGAGGCGGTTCTGGTTCAGCCCGTTTGTCACTGACATCAAAACCTCGACCCTAATTATCACCAGAGAACCATTTTACTGTTACTGGACCCGAAACCTACAGCCTGACCCGCTTCCTGTGTCAGAACTATGACCAGTTCTGGGACTGCAGTGAGTTCTGCTGCTGTTGGGTCGGGCTGTACTCAGTTTGGACCAGAACTTCACTCACCTTGCTGGGAGTCCTTGGCTTCTCCTGAGCAGTCTGTGTTGCAGCGTCTCTGACCGGATCAGAACCCACAGAGCTGCTGGACGCGGCTCGGCTCTCCGCTGCTTTCTTCTCTGGTGGTGCAGACGGCGAGGCCGCCGCCCCCTGGTGGTCGGCCCGGGAAGCCGCACCTTTCCCCCTGCTGGGCCGGAGGAGCCGGGCCACTTTAATCGGACCTGGAGTCGGTTTTCTACTGCCGGCCACTTCGGCTCTCCTGCTGGGTTCTGGTCGGTTCTGCTGAGCAGACGGAAAACATCTGGGAAGTTCTGATAAAGGGTTAGAACCTAATCTGAGTTCAAAGGTCATCCGAAGTACCTGAGCAGGTGTTCTGGATGGAGACGGGTTCTGGGTTCCCTTTGTCTCCAGGCTGGAGGTTCTGGCAGCGCCGCTCGGCCCGGTTCGGGTCACGTGGACGACCCGAGGTGGAGCGGCGCCTCCGACTGGACTGCTGGAGGTCTGAGAGGTTCTGCTGAGGTTCTGGGAGGCAGCGGGACCGTCCGGGTCGCCCCGCGGCGGTCCCGCTGCCCTCAACGGGTCCGATCCCCCGTCCTGCGGGTCCGGTCCGGCGCCGGGCCCAGCTGGACTCGCCTGGCTCAGCGTCACACACACGTCTGAGCTCACAGACACAAACAGCGCCTCGTCTTCCTCGTCTTCCTCATCATCAGCTGGGATCTCCGTCGCGTCCGAGTCGGCGGCGTAGCAGCTGCCGTTGCCCTGGTAACCGTCCAGGTGGAACCCGGCGCTGCTGGCGTCCAGGTAGAGCGAGGCGGAGGCGTCGGTCTGGAGCCGCCCTTCCTCTTCCTCCTCTTGCTCCTCTTCCTCCTCCTCCTCCTCCTCCTCCTCCTCAGGAGCCCACCTGGACAGCACCAGCTCCTGCAGGTGGGCGGGCATCACTGCGGTCGTCGTGGTCGCCGCCAGCAGGCTCTCGGTCCGGCCGCTCGGACTCCGCAGCGACTCCGGAGACGACGAAGAGGAGGAGGAAGAGGAGAGCGGGAAGGCGCTGCCGTTGTGGTGGCCTTGGCGACGAAGAGGCAGCTTCATGTTGCTCATGTCCAGACGGAGTCAGAAGTTTCTCAAACTCTCCGCTCGGTTCACATGTTGCCTCACACAGAAACAGCCCGGGTCACTTCCTGTGCAGAACCAAAACCTCAGTAAATGCAAAATAAAACTCTGGATTTGGTGAAATAAATTATATCACGTCTAAAAATCTGAATCCTTTAAAGCTGAAATGTCTCATCGTAGTTTTTTCATATTTTCATGCAGAGTTTCAGTAATCTGACTGGGAAATGTCGCCCCCTGCAGGCTGAATCTTCCTGGTGTTTCCAGTGGAGGGAGTCACATCTGGGTCGGTTCTGGTCGTTTTTTGTGGGTCAGAGACTAAAAGAACCGGAGCAGCTAAATAAAAGCCTTCAGAACCGGGTCAGACCTCTTTTCTCTCCCCGGTAACAACCGACTCATCTTCCTCACTTCCAGGTGGAGGAAGATGAAGAGGAGCGAGATGAAGCTGCAGCAGACCCACAGAACCTCACCGGATCCACAGAACCTCACCGGACCCACAGAACCTCACCGGACCCAATAACGGTTCTCGGAACGGTCGGGGGGTTTAGAGGTCCGATCCGGTTCTGAACAAATCTTACTCCAGAGAAAAAGGAGCTGGGAAAGCAGATACTGATCACATGATCAAAACGGACCGGACCGCCTCAGTGTTTCCGTGGGCTGTTTTGGACCGGAACCAGAAGCTATTCTGCTGCGTTTAATCATCATGAATGAGCATCTCGGCTGCTGGGCAGCTTCTGCTATTCCACGAACTGCTAACCTCGAAAACTTTCCCTACATGCATTTTTCTGGATACGTTCCAAGATTAAAGATTTCCTGAAACATTTTAATATTTCTGCTTCATTTGATTTCAACGGTTTGGCCAAAATAATTAGACCAAGTTTCTCCAAGCCAGTGTTTTCTGAGCTCTTCATGTTGGAGGATTTTTGTGTTGAAGGAAATAAATGTGACCAGGTATTTTTCAGTCTCCGGGCAGAAATTCATCCACCAGATCATCAGGACCTACGGTTGGACCCAAAGGGATCTCCGGTTGGACCAACGGGGTCTCCGGTTGGACCAAAGGGGTCTCCGGTTGGACCAAAGGGATCTCCGGTTGACCAAGGGATCTCCGGTTGGACCAAAGGGATCTCCGGTTGGACCAAGGGGATCTCCGGTTGGACCAACGGGTCTCCGGTTGGACCAAGGGGATCTCCGGTTGGACCAAGGGGATCTCCGGTTGGACCAACGGGGTCTCCGGTTGGACCAAGGGGATCTCCGGTTGGACCAACGGGATCTCCGGTTGGACCAACGGGGTCTCCGGTTGGACCAAGGGGATCTCCGGTTGGACCAACGGGATCTCCGGTTGGACCAACGGGGTCTCCGGTTGGACCAAGGGGATCTCCGGTTGGACCAAGGGGATCTCCGGTTGGACCAAAGGGATCTCCGGTTGGACAAGGCATCGTTGGGCTACAGAATATTTAATAAGTTCTTCATCCAGATTTCAGAACATTGAAACGATTTAAAATCCCTTTCTCCTCACCCTTCCAGGTCGGAGCTGAACTCTGGACTCGGTCCGGGTGGTTCCGTCAAACCGGGTCAGGCAGAGACGGGTCCTACATTCACCCAGGCAGTCTAATTGGACCGACCCGGCAGCTCATCCCGTCCTGTTAGAATCAGCCGCTGGCACTGGCTCAGAGAGGAGAAACACTGCGCCGCGTTTACACGCCTGTCAGGTCGGTTCTGATCCGACGGGCCGAGTGAAGGAGCAGAAATATGACGGAGAAGCAGCACCATGAAATGGTTGCTGAGAGAAATCTGCCGTCTGATGGAGAGAAAGGAGCTTCAGCCAGGTCCCAGACTCCAGGGCAATCAGATGTTGATGCTGCGATTGGCTGGAATAAACAGGAAGTAGACGTCACCTCTAAAAAGCAGGCCGCGTCCCTCCCTCCCAGATGAAAGCTGGACTTTTACATTTATTCAAAGTTTGGTGCCTCTGGTAAGGCACAGGCCCACAGTTCCCCATGTCTGGATTTACTCTGTGAACGTTTCCATCTCTTCGGCTAACTCTTTTCAGAAAACACCAAATCCAACTTCAGCCAGCATAGAAACATTTCTGCAAAGCTTTTTCAAATTCTGACATTTGCACCAACCGTTTCTAATGCGACACTTTAAAATGTGCATAACCACGACCTTTACGACACACACCGACACACACACACATCGACACACAGCCACACACACACACACACCGACACACACACACCGACACACACACACATCGACACACAGCCACACACACACACACACAGCCACACACACACCGACACACACACACAGCACACACACACACACAGCCACACACACCGACCCACTCACACCGACCCACACACACCGACCCACTCACACCGACCCACTCACACCGACCCACACACACCGACCACACACACCGACCCACTCACACCGACCCACACACACCGACCCACTCACACCGACCCACTCACACCGACCCACTCACACCGACCCACTCACACCGACCCAGACCCGATCCCCTGATCCATTCATGAAGTCTCTCGACTCGCTGCTTCGTGTTTCGTCTCCAGAAAACAACGCAGCTGGAGCGGTTCCCGTGGCAACGGGACAGAGGAAGGATGTGTCACTCGCAGCATGCAGGGGCGACTGCCGACGCAGCAAAATGAGGTCAGAGGTCAGCCTGAAACTGTCAGAACCACCAGAACCAAAAAGAGTAATCTGAACCTGTAGAGCCAATCAGAACCGGTCCCTGAAGACCCATGTGGAGACGCGTCAGGACGGCGCTGCCGTCAGTCCGACCTGCAGCGGTTCTGTTCTTCCACTGGGCCCAATCTAGTTTTACATCTCCATAGAGAATCTGTGACATCAGCCAGGAACCCACCAGAACCTCCTGGTTCTGACCCTCGCTGTGACCCGTTAAAGCTCTGTGTTCTGAACGGACCGGCCCAAGGTTCTGCTGCTGAGTCATGGTAGTGGCAGCGTCATGCTTTAGCTCCATGTGAACCAGAACCACAAATTATGGCGACAAACTATAATGCTATCATTTATAGACTATTTTTTTAATGATAATTTAATTTCTGAGCAACATTTGGGTTTTTAAATATCCACAATAAATAAACAACCAAAACATTAACATGGATTATGATTCAGTTTCAACAGGGAAAAGTGGGAGGACTCTTTCACCTGAACGTTTCCGACACACACACACACACACACACACACCACACACACACACACACACACACACACACACACACACACACACACACACACACACACACAGTAACTGTTGCCGCAGTCTTAACTTACTCCTCTGGCTCCTTCTGAAGGCAGAAAAAAAACAGATCCAGTAGGAAATGATTCCTCCAGCTGGCCGGACTGGGACAGACTGGGACAGACTGGGAGGAACTGGGATGCTGGTCCTCACGCTCTGTGCTGCGCGATCACGCGTTATGTGTGACCCATCGCTGCTGCGTTTTCCCATCCAGGCGGAGGGAGGAAGAGGAGGAGGAGGAGGGATCCTGCAGTAAACACAAATCGGCTGCTTCTGGCACAGACTACGGCAAGAGGGGAGGGACATTCCTCTACAGCACACGCAGGGCCAGGGGTGGGGGGGTTCTGGCCCAGATCCTTCTCCGTTCTGTTCAGCATCAGCAGCAGAAACCTAAACATGTAATCTGATGCAGCGCGAGCCGGAATCAGGCAGCCAATCAGAGGCCGGCTCAGATTACCGAGGAACTTTAAAGCCGCGGCTGGCCTCCCCGGTAACATGATGACTGCTCACGTGCGACCTGCTGAACGACACGACCCTCACGTCATCTGCCTGGAATCGCTTCGCAGGAAAAGATCCAAACATGGGAAAGTCGGATAAAAACGGATGAGTTCCTGTTTCAGACGCCGGGCCAACGAACCGCTAGCTCCCATAAAACACAGAATATCTGAAACGGAACGGGTTCATTTAGGCTGAAATAGATCAGATTATCAATTCGTTACTCATCAAATTCGTGTTAGAGGGGGTGCTGTGGTGGTGCAGGGGCAAAGTACAAGCTACGTATGGAACCCTCAGACCTGGAGGCAGAGGTTGCAGGTTTGATTCCGGGCCTGACGTTTGCTGCCTGTCTTCCCTCTCTCTCATAACCCTCTTTCAAATAAACGCCCATCGAGCCAGAGCAGCATATCGGGGCAGACGTCGTGTTTCTACATGCAAAAACTGCCGGCTGACGAACTTCAGGAAAACTCCTGAAACGTTTATCCTGAAGTTTGTGTCTGAAACGTTTGGAGCAACGAACGTTTCCTGAGTGAGAGAAAGTCTGGAAACTCTGAGTGAGATCCTCTAATCAGATCCAGCTTCTCCCACACAGGAAGCGTGAATGGAAATGTTTTCTGTCATGATAACCAGTCTTCCTTAAGAGTTTTGGAACGCCATGCTTTACCCAAGGGGTCAGAGGTCACATGAAGGTGTCACTGTCCTCTGCACAAACTCTCCAATAAAACTAAGGAAATGGTGCCCCAGTTTTCTGCGCCTTGATGCCTTCACTGAGCCCTGGAAACACAGAGCAGCCGAAAACAACCGGCAGCCAGTTGGAGGAGAGGAAGGTGTGCGGTGAGACCAGCATCCATCTGCTGCTGCAGCCAAAATAACTAAACACAGAACTGAGAGTGAAATCTCTCTGTTGCTCCCTTCCAGCCAGTCAGACATCTTTTAAGATGTTTTAAAGCAGTCTGGATCAGGAGCTCGCTGGGAGTTTTTATTGATTTTAGTTTTTATAAGACCTGATCATTTTCAGATAAATGTTTCTATCATACCTCTCAACTATCAATGATAAACTATACAACTTTTAACTATCAAAAAGAAGCACAATTTATATTGTTTTACTGTCTTCTTTGGATGCTTATTTGGAGTTACTGAAATTAATTATGTTCTGCAAATCTCGTTATAGCGAGTTTTATTTGTTTCAGTTGTATTTATTTCCTACATCTGGCAGCTCATCGGAAATATTAGCACCATGGCTACATATTAGACATTTTTACCATAATAATGCCTACCTGGTAAAAATGGTTACATTAAATAAAAGTATTGTTGCAGATCATTTACAACATTTTAAAACTACATTATCTCCAAATACCATTTAGCTGCTGAATGCTGCTAACAGCTAACTGCAACTTTCACATTATATCTAAACTTTATTGGACCTTTTATCACAACAGTAACATTGAATAAAATTAAAAAGCAGATTATTTGACAACATCCACTATATTAAAACTATTTTCATCTCGACTAGCTGTCTTTTAACTGGCAAATGCTACGTGTGGCTAACAGCTCAATGCTAGCTAAGTCATCTGCATTTTTCCAGTTATTTATCACAAAGGCTCCATGTTATAACTCTCAATGATATAAGATTTTTACTGTGAAACATAGCAATGATTAAAGTGGGTGTGGCTCAATACTGTGAAGAAAAGGGTCACAAAAAGAACCGAGCTACCAAAAGCTAACAGCTAACAGAGCTAAAGGCTCCGTTGTTGCTCTGGGAATAAGATGGTCTTTAGTTGAACGTCAAACAAATCCATGGCTCAACATTTCTGAGAAATCAGTTTAGAGTAGAACGTTTGTCAAGCAGCAGAACAGGTTTATGCAACTGAAGCTGCGGTCAAACTGTGGTTAAAGAGGTTAAACTGTCACTGAGGCTTAAATCCCATCAGAGCCGCTACTGTTGTTTTACTGTGTTCATGAATAATAGAAATGAAAAGCAGTTACTGATTAAATGCCAGCAACAAGTCTGAGCAGAGTGCAGCTTTCAACTCCACGCTGACATCCAGACACAAAAATGCCGATTATGACGAGCCAGAGAGCACAATCACAACTTAACCAAGGAGTGGCTGCATCAGACGAGGCCGTCCTGCTTTAACGGGAAATCTACAAGAACAGGAAACATCCACAGGCTTTAATCTGTGCTGAAAACTAAAATGAAATAAGATCAGCCAAACCTAGAGGAGATTTATTAAAGCTGAGCCCAGCAGCAGCAGCTGCAGCAGCAGCAGCAGCAGCAGCAGCAGCTGCAGCAGCAGCTGCAGCAGCAGCAGCTGCAGCTGCAGCAGCAGCAGCTGCAGCTGCAGCAGCAGCAGCTGCAGCTGCAGCAGCAGCAGCTGCAGCTGCAGCAGCAGCAGCTGCAGCTTCAGCAGCAGCAGCTGCAGCTGCAGCAGCAGCAGCTGCAGCTGCAGCAGCAGCTGCAGCAGACTTTATGGACAAAACTGAGTGGGATTGTTTTATCCAAAACTAGTTTCTTTCATATTTAAATAATGATGTTCTCTTTTGGATGAGAAAACATTTTCAACTCAAACATCTAAGACAAAACTTGACAAATATTTGTCCATCTTTTCCTGTGGGATCAGCTGACAGCATAAATAAGGGTTGAATTATGTCATCAAGCTAAGATATGTATCAATGCATTGCATTTTATTCCTAAGAAATTAACTGTAAAACAATGTCAGGACGTAAATTAATCAGGACTCATTAATTAATGGGATTAATACATGAATTATTAAGAGTTATTTAAGGAAGAATTACTGAAGATGGCAACTTAAAAAATACAACTGAATATAGAAGCAAAAATGTGTAAATAAAATGACCAAATCAAAAGGAGCCTGGTCTATGTGGACAGATGAATCTCTCAGAATAATTAAATTTAATGGCTGCAAAACTAAAAACTCATTGATAACAACACAGCCTCCAGCAGCAGACAAATCCATTAGTTTCCCTTTTTCTCTTCAGGATGAAATGACTGAGGAGCCAATCAGGAGCAGCTGGATGTCATGACAGTGTTTCCTGAAAGCTCTGCCATGCCAAGGAGAGCCACAGAGTCTATCTACTTAATCCTGGCCAGGCCTGCGGGATGATGCAGAGGACAATCTGTTACGTAACACCCAGAATGCTGCAGCAGCACAAATGTCCATCACACACAGGGACGTGGTGCTGCAGACAGAGTGGACAGAGAGAGGACACCTGGCCTGCAGCTGCAGGTGACCAGACATGCACTGACACCGCCGTGCACTTTATTCATTAAAGAAACCGCATCAAAGTTTTTCTGTTTACAGAAATATTAAAAAGACGATCATCAAAAACTTCACATTCTCTCTCAGGTTCACAAAAAATACGTTAAAATATTTACCCTGCTATAAAACTGTAGCTGCTGCTTCCTCAGTGGAAAATCTGCTGTTTCTTCGTGATGTTTAACCTCAGGAAAAATAAATCCTTGCTCCATCTTGTTTCTAATAAACAGTAAAATCCCGCAGTCAGTACACCTACCGTCTGCTGCAGCAGGAGCCACGCAGCAGGAGCCACGCAGCCTCACCTGGACACAACAGGAACCAGACTCTTCACGTTTCCTCCAGTAATCCTCCCGGCCCGGCCGAACCGCGCTCCAGGTGGGCCCAGCTGGTTCCGGTGGATGACGGTGATCACCGGAGGAGTCCTCAAGTCTCATCGGCTGGCAGCCAATCGGTGAAGTGAACCGGTCACTCACTCACATGGCTCACGCACTATATATATTGGCGGAGGAATACCTGATGAAAAAATACTTATCTTTTTAACTTCGACTGTTTGATATATAAAACGGCCAGTCAAACTGTCTTTGGGTTTTTTTGTGTTTTGCTTTGATGTGTTTCATTATCTCGTGGGTTGGCTTAGATTTATAACGGGTTAGATTCAGAAATGCACAAATAAAATCAACTTTACTGCGTCTGGCCAGCTTTACCTGCAGTTCTGACAGTGACTACTGCCCCCTGTAGGCCGAGGAAAGACTAACCGTTGGACGCCCTGACGTCTCTCCCGTTACGTTTCTGCAGTTTCCTGTCACAGCTTCACGCTGACAAGTCAGTGAAGTTCTGCAGCATTTTTTAATTGTTTAGCATGATTATTCATTTGATTCAGTTTTTATGTCGGAAGGCATGAAAATAAGCGACATTCCTGCGGTTGATATGGTTTTAATTGTACTTGATCAAATCTATCCATTCCCACTGTTCAGACTAAAACACAGCTTAGAAATTATAATACTGATATTATAATATACAACATTGACAATATGTAGTTTAATAATATGATCATTATGTATCATATGCCATCTTATATATAATGAAAATCACTGATTTTAATATAATCAGCAATTATGTTTTTATACATTTTAAAGGAAGGAAGAAAAGCTAAAACAAGAGAACTGGGAATCATTAGGAATCATTGGTTCATTCTGGTCTGTATTTTAAATGGTAATTCGCTTTATGACATGAACTGCTTCATTATTGTAACATCTAATGAATTTATCTGCTATTATTATTTAATGTTTGTTGTATTGTTATAGCCTTTAATGACGCATCAGAGCGCAGGTGAATTAGTGTAAAGCTACCAGCATAAGCTAAAGGGAAACGGGGAAGATTTTCATAATAAAAACTCTAATAGGCAGAACTGCAACCTTTTTCTATAATAATTCGTCATATTATAAATATTTTGTGTAAAACGCTTTTATGTGTTGAAAACACCTTTCTATCTGCTCTTCCTCAGCTGATGACGCCTGGAAGCGATTACACCTGACATTTATTTTGAAAGTCTGTGACGGATGTTAGCGCTGTAACGGTCCAGAAGTGACATCAGAGTGTCCGGTCAGAGGCAGGGGCTGACCGGAGGACCGACAGGAGAATCGGTACCAGCGGGTCCGCTCTCAGACGGCTCAGCCGAACAAAGGCGGGACACGGGGATGATGGACGGGATCCTCGGCCAGGGCTGGAGCAGCAGCGGCGGGAAACTCGGCTCCGTTCTCGGTGTGAATGTGTGAATTTAACCGCTGACGAAGACAAGGCATCCTGCTCCTCTCCATCGCCTCCATCTTGGATGCTGGTGATGATGGAGCACATCCGGACTCCCAAGGTAGGTCCACGGACTCTCTTCTGTCTCGCTGATGTTTGATCTGTCTACCTGCCGGTCCTGATCCGGGGACGGTTCCTATAAATCATCGTCCAATCTGACAGTATTCCCTTTTTAGGAATAATGGGAATGTCAGGAGAATCTAACGCAATGTCCGATAATGGATTCCTGGGATGAATCCTTCCGTTAAAAATGTAAATATTTTCTCAGATGCTTCTCTGCCAGGCAGACATCCCATAATGCTGGAAGACATGATTAGTGATCAATAATGATGGAGGATGATCACCTCTATCATGATGCTGCTTCTGCTGAAAGACTGTTTCCCTTCTTCAGGACCAATTCTTTTCATCCATCCATTCATCCATCTTTTCATCCATCTTTTCATCCATCCATTCATCCATCTTTTCATCCATCTTTTCATCCATCCATTCATCCATCTTTTCATCCATCCATCTGTCCGTCGGTGAACTTCCTGTGTGACCAGTGAACTTCCTGTGTGCCCTGTCAGGTGGAGAACGTCCGTCTGCTGGAGCGTTCTTCAGGTCAAAGGTCAGCCACCGTGGGAACGCTCTACCTGTCTGCCACTCACACCATCTTTGTGGAGAACAACCCAGAAACCCGCAGGGAGACATGGGTAAGTCCTGCTCTGGTTCTGATCTGGTTCTGATCTGGTTCTGATCTGGTCCTGATCCGGTCCTGCTCTGGTTCTGATCCGGTTCTGTTCTGCCTGACCTACTGGTTCTGTTTGGGTTTCCCAGCGCAGCTGGAAGGAGCTCAGACAATCAGACATTTATTTATTTGATCATATATTTATTTAAAGGAGCCGTTTTCTCCAGGCAAAAAGGGCCATTTATAGCATCATGTACATCAAATATGCCTTAAGAATCTAACTTTGTAATTTCTGGATCCGATCTGGATCTGGATCCAGATCGGATCCAGAAAGGGAGTCGCAGGGAACCGCTGCTCTGTGAAGTTGAAGCTTGTTGCCCTGGAAACTGCAGCTAAGGGGAGGAGCTGCGCCCTGAAGGCGGAGCTTGGTCCACCCAAGCGATTTGCACATGCTTGCCATGGAGATCAAAGGATGTCTCACACATTCATGAAAGAATCAAATCAAAACTCCAGGTTGGTTTTTGTTGAGGGATTTGCTCCAAACAGTCAAGTGGGTAAAACTTTAATACTGCCCTTTAATTTTGTCCCTCTTGGCTTTCCATACACCTTGTGGCTCACTAACCTGTCATCCTTTAGTGACCCCATCTTGGTGTCTTTATGACCCCATCTTGGTGTCTTCGTGACCCCATCTTGGTGTCTTCCTGACCCCATCTTGGTGTCTTTATGACCCCATCTTGGTGTCTTTATGACCCCATCTTGGTGTCTTTATGACCCCATCTTGGTGTCTTTATGACCCCATCTTGGTGTCTTCGTGACCCCATCTTGGTGTCTTCATGACCCCATCTTGGTGTCTTTATGACCCCATCTTGGTGTCTTTATGACCCCATCTTGGTGTCTTCGTGACCTCGGCGGTCCTGACTTTGGGAACCTCGGCTCAGTTTGGCGTTTTGACTGGACCTTTGTAAGCTTGAAACCAGGTGACCCGTGTCCAGACAGACCGTGTCGCTGCGTCAGCTGCAGCAGGAAGTGATTGTCCAACATCCAGAACCGATGAGTCGGGGCCACTGACTTCCTGTTTCTGTGTGTTTATGTTTCAGGTTCTGCACAGCATGGTCTGCGGCGTGGAGCGACCGCCGGCCACGCCCACAGGAAGTCCTCTCGTCCTGCGCTGCAAGGACTTTCGGGTCTTCCAGCTCCTCTTCCCTCTGGAGCGCGACTGCCTGGAGGTCCACGCCTCCCTGACCCGTTTGTCCCGACCCGGTGAGTGTCTGTCTGGCTTCGGCCCGATCCGGCTTCCCGGTCTCCGTCCCAGCAGCCAGAACTTCCCCTGGTTCTTCTGGGTTTCTGAAAGTCAGGATCAGAATGATTGATGAAGAAGTCCTGGTGACATCTGGCTGCCTGGACGGAGGACAGCTGACCCGACCCGGCTGACCTTTGACCCTCCCTCTCAGTGCAGTACAGCGAGCTCTACTGCCTGTCCTTCAACCCAAACGCCAACAAGAAGGAGCGCGAGGAATCCTGGAGCTTCATCGACCTGAAGGCCGACTACAAGAGGATGGGCGTTCCCAACAACCTGTGGGTCGCCACGGCAGCCAACAGCGAGTACCGGGTCAGCAGAACCAGAACCTGCAGCTGCTCTCACATCAGCACAGACAAGCTCATAGATCAGAAGTTCTGATTCCAGAACCAGGAAGAACAAACCGGGTCCAATTGTAATTTTATACAAACACGTTCTTTCAAAAATGAAAAATAGATTTAGATGAATTTTGATAAAACAATAAATATCAGCTGCTTTGTCAGAAGTGGAACGAAATGAGTCCAGAACCATGAATCTGATCTGCAGAGACGATGTTTAACATGTCAACACGTCACAGGTTTAGTATCCGCATGGAGTCAGATTAACAGCTGATAAAACCTGAACTCAGTATGATAAAACTGAAACTGATAAAAACTCAACATTTAACTAATAAACACGAGCCAGCATGTGTGTGTGTGTGTGTGTGTGTGTTGCAGGTGTGTGACACGTACCCCGCCGAGCTGTTTGTCCCGAAGTCGGCCACGCCCGCCGTCATTGTGGGCAGCTCCAGGTTCAGGAGCCGAGGTCGCTTCCCGGCTCTGTCCTACTTTCACCAGGACACACTGGTCAGTGGCGCGCACACACACACACACACACACACACACACACACACACACACACACACACACACACACACACTTTCAGCATCACCAGCTGCGTGTCGCCCCCTGCAGGCAGCGGTGTGTCGGTGCAGCCAGCCGCTGGCGGGATTTAGTGGCCGTTGCCAGGAGGACGAGCTGATGCTGCAGGCGGTGATGAAGGCCAACCCAGGAAGTGAGTTCATCTACGTGGTGGACACCCGGCCCAAGGTAACACACACACTCATACTCAGACATACACACGCTGAGGGCCGCTACAGCCTGTGTGTGTGCAGCTGAACGCCATGGCCAACCGGGCGGCGGGGAAGGGCTACGAGAGCGAGGACCACTACTCCAACATCCGGCTGCTCTTCATCGGCATCGAGAACATCCACGTGATGAGAAGCAGCCAGCAAAAGATCCTGGACGGTGCGTGGCGCTCTGCCGGCGCTCTGCCGGCGCTCTGCCGGCGCTGTGCCGGCGCTGTGCCGGCGCTCTGCCGCCTCCTGCTGGCCCTCACTTCGCTCTGCTCTTCTTCTCCTGCTGCAGTGGGGGAAATGCGCGCGCCGTCCATGACCGACTTCCTGTGGGGGCTGGAGAGCTCCGGCTGGCTGAAGCACATCAAGGCGGTTCTGGACGCCGGCGTCTTCATTGCCAAGGTCTGAATTAACCAATAGGGTTAATTTATCTCACTCAGTTTCACTCTATATCCTCTGGGTCTGACCCGGTCCTGGTTCCGACCCTGTCCGTGTCTCTCTGTCAAGGCCGTGGCGGATGAAGGAGTCAGTGTTCTGGTCCACTGCTCAGACGGGTGGGACCGGACGGCCCAGGCCT